ATCAGCGAGAAGTCAAAGATGAAATAATGAAATAATAAAATTGTTTTTCGGTTCGTGTGGGTATAGAACACAGGCCTTCTGCAAGGCAAGCAGGTGCTCGATAACAGCGCTACGTCATTGCGGGAAGCTGTTTCAGAAGAAACGCTATGAATATCAGGTTATCCATCCGTTTCCGTCGAAATGCGGCCACCGCTACCGGTATTCGATCCCGCGACCTTCGGGTCAGAGGAGCGCCGCTACTACAATACCACCGTCGTGGGTATCATATGCAAAGGCCGAAAACAGTTGCCTGAAACCTACAAGATGTGCTCGCCACCCGAGATGGAACTGTCTTGGACATCTCTTTGTGCGTCTTGTATTACTGTACGGGCGGCGACCTGAGGAAGCCGGCCGGGCTGCACCGGTTCATGCAACTGTTTTTCATTGCGGCACGGGTACTATAGCTTTATTGTGCTTCACTGACTCGAGAGAGGGATACAAAGGGAAAAAGTCTATGACCCATTCAAAACGTGAAAATGGCCGTACACCGAAGCTGTTCATGCGTGATGATCCCCTCGCGGCATTCCCTGCAGCGACCCTAGCTGTCCTCAGTGACACCATGAGCCATACATACCTCGCCATGCTGCCTCGGCTTCGCAAAGTCTCCTCTGGCACTCGGCCACCGCTTCGCGAAGCGGAGCATATTGGGATACGGAAGCTCTGACCAGAATACCCAATGCTAACAAGTTCTATAAAGAAATGAGTTTCTCCACGCAGTCGTGCAGTGCACATGACGAAATCTTCCAAACCTTGTCAAGCAGGAGCAAGCACCTGTGAATTTTGAATACAGCTGCTTCCCAATGTGTCAATTCATACGCTAGCCAGCCCTGGTTTTTTCTGGTGCTAAGCTGCTGACACACGGAATGTAGAATCGGGTCAAAGCCTTAGCAGACATATTTTGTGAAGGCAACATGCTGAAGGCCAACGTGCTTAAGATTTTTAGGTGCACGCTAAAGAACTCTAGCTGATTGAAATTTCTGGCACCCTTCACTACCGCATCTGATATTCTCATTTTACTTCAAAAACGTAAAACCCCAACATTTATTACTAATACCTGTGTGCAGAACTTAGATATCCTTTTCAAACACTCTGGCAAATGAGCAGGTGCAAGTACACTGTCTGAAATGAATCATAAAGTAATGACAGCAGAAGAATAAAAGACAAAGACTTTCAGAAAATCTATATAATCTTGTTCAGTGATGCAGGTGGGGAAAAACAAAAGGTAAAAAGTCCAGTGTCGAGGAGCAGTGGCAAACTTCAGAGATATGTAATGCATGTGGTTGTACGAGACACGTACAAGCCAGTTTTGTTTTGGCACACAAAACGTTCTGTGTCACGCAGGACACCCCCACACGATTATACCAAAAAAGCTTGAAGCTGCTGCTATTATGTACACATAACTACACTTGCAAACTGCCTTCCAGAGGTTGGTGGTCAGGCGACTATACGGCGGGACAACACCGCTAATGCACGTCTTGCGCCCAGACACTCGTCTTTCTTCACATCACACAGAAACTATGGAATACATTTATGTCATTGCGCCAGTATAAAAAATGCAGCTATTTACACGCTGTCATACCAGTTGGGCAAACAAAGCACCTCAGTTCATACTGACCCAAGACCCCCTACCCTATAAATGGTCTCCGTTAAAACCAACTCAAAATGCTCAAGCAACCGTCCCTATTGAGACATTCAGCATGCTTTCTAACATTCCCATATGTTGTCAGTAAGATTGTTGCGGATACTTCAAAAAATTAACATAGAATCCATATACTTTGGAAAAACATTACAAAGGTAACAAGGACTTATTGGAATGACGTACGTAATGTTTCACTGGGCAAGCATGTCAAAGAAAAAAAAAGTCACACGCAGATGCAAACTATATCTGCCAGTAGCAAAATTTCAGACTTGGCTCGGCATGTACAACAACACATTTCTCAAATGGTGCAAGAGCCCAAGCTGCTAAATGTAAGCAAAAGACAAAATTAAAACGAAAATGTGAACAATAGGTTCTTCGAGCGTGTGAGAATAGAGTCACATGCAAACATAAAGTAACAGACAACAAGATTAAGCCAGCAACACAATTCCTTGTTTCCATTGCAAAAACATTTGCAAAACAGCTTGCTTACACAAAACAGCGATGTACTTTCTTTCATGATCCTAAACATATCCCTGCCTTTGTTACTGCACTGTCAGTAAGACCCCTTTTCTTACAATTCATTTCACTGGCCTTCAAAAGAGATTCAACCACACATAAGAAAAAAATAAAGTTTCTTAAGCCTTTACCGGGCTATCTTTTTCATTTCTTCTTCATTTACAACCCCTGAATGGTGAGATATTATGTACAAGTGCTTTAATACAGAGACTGTGCAACTTTTAGACGTTAAGACTCGGCTGGATGCACTGAGACTATATCAGCATAATATGACCGAAAACTGCAGCTTTAGAAAAAAAAGAGGAAGTGCAGGGACATCAGTTGCTGAGCTGATTACTGTGGGATCCCTAATAATTATTAAGAGCAAATAAGATGTTATTCTTGTTTTTTTTGGAGACTGTGCGACCAAATCAAGAAGCGGTCTTTTCCTGCATGCCGTGTGACCAAATCTTTACAATTTGCTCTATGCAGTCAAAGAACCATGTCAAAAGATACCCAAAGTTTGAGGTTGACAGCCTGACGCAGAACGAGATATGGTATTCTTGCAACCTAGAAAGTTGCCTCCTTGCGGCTCAGAAATTCTTTGACCCTCTTAGGCTAAGAATCCCTTTTTTTTTTTTTTTTCATTAATGGGGGACATGGCGCGTTAAATTTTTTTTTTCATATTTATTGATAAATTTTGATGAAATTTGGTATGTATATTTTTGAACTGATTTCATAAATGCAACTATTTTTCTTGTACAAAGTGCACTTGCTAAAATACAAAATATTTTATGAGCCCTTTGGGGAGCAAGCTTTGCTTTAAACTAAAAGACTTGCACAATAAACAATCCTATCACAATACTCTGGAATCAGAGCTGATTGCAGTTCAACAGAAATGTATCCTCCAAACCCATCAGACGAAAAGTTGCGGTATGTTGAACATTTGCAGTGAAATTCTAGCTTGAAATTAACTCACTCACAAATGTTCATTGTACAATAATGTTTTGTCTCATGTGTTTAGAAGATCCATTTTTGTTGCACTGCAATCAGTTCTGACCACAGGTTATTATGATAATATGATTTCCTTTGTAGCTCTTTCAGTTTAGAAAAAAATCTTTCTCCCCAAAAGACACATGAAATATTCTGTATCTAAAAACTACTGATTATACAGAAAAAAACTGCATATTTGAAATCAGCACACAAATATATGTCATCTCACAACGTTCATCAAAATCAATCAAGAAATAAAAAACTTCTTTAAGAGCCGTGTTTCACCTTAAGTAAAATAAAAAACTGAGAATAACATTCACCTATGCATAATACAGATTACTACAAAGCTTCTCACAATATTACAAAAGAAAGATGTTGCAGACCACTGCTGCATGACTCTGGAAAAGGAGCTACAGAATTTTAATAAAACATGCAAGGAGCTGTTTTAGAAGCATCAATTTCATCAAGCATAACGATTCAAAGGAAAAAAAAATGCAAGTCCGCCCCAAGGGCAAGACAGTTGTATTGCAATCTACACCTTCCAACAAAGGGGGCAATCTACACCTTACAACAAAGGGGTGTCGGAAAAGCAAAAGATACCAAAGCGCACTCTGATCTACGCCTTATAATCGACTGCTCTACAACAAAAAGAGCATTATACAGTTAAACGTGGATATAACGAAATTGATAAATTCCCAGAAAATTCATTATAAAGAGCTTTCCCTTATATCCAGGTTCGGTACAAAAATTCGGAAAATAAACCCGCAAATTAAACAAAAGGGGGACTGAAGGCAGAGCTAACCCCAAACACTCATTTTACAGTAAAAAACTGAGTTATTTTTGCGATAGAGATTATATATACCCTCTCGGCGGGTTCTTGCTGTCGCCGCCATGTGCCGCAACAAGTCCAAATTAACAACATGCCCCCGCGCATTGTAACTTTCACAAGCGGGTACAAGGGCGCGAGCGCTGCTGAAGCAGAGATCACACGAGTCGAGTCGGCTTATCCCTAGCGCCTGGAAAGTGCATAACATCTCCCGCGTGTTAGAACTGCCACCGAATGCTCAAGCAGAAAGTAAACCACCTGTCTTAAACGAGCATGAAACAAAGTGGGGAGGGAGGGGGGAATCGCTGAAGTAGCAATAATAAACTTGGATATTAAGGGCCGTCGCGATCACTGGCGCGCTTGCTATTTCGGCGAGAGCGGTTTCAACGGGAAGGGGCTGCGTGAAAAGAGCAAGCCCAATCGTTACAATCAAAGTCGAAAGCACACGATTCCCCCCACCGGAGGATAAGCGCGCAACATCTAACCCCTCTCGCCCCCCTCCGCATTCGCGGGGCGAAGTACGCATGGGAGATAAGCGCCGTCAGCACATCCTGACGAGCTGAGCGCGGGCCGCTTTTTATTTTTTCTTCTTGAGTTTCCATATATGAATGAAGGCGGCGATGGTGGGAAAAACCCAGCCGAAACTGCCCATATACAAAATTGCACGTGCGCACGGCACTGAAAACGAAGAGCGAACGACACAGACACGGTTAGCGCGGAAAATATTCGGTAAAGCGCCCTCCATATGCAGCGCGGCTCCAGATATGTGACGCTAACCAAAAGCGTGACACTGACAACGCGCAAAAGTAGTTTTTTTTCTTATTTTGGTTTGCAAAAAAGGGGGGGGGGGGGGGGGGGGGGTGCACAACCGCGGATGCGATCGCGGCGGCGAGAGAGGGGCCAACGCCGGCTCGTGAGGTGCAGGCCCGCCGCTACCGCTTCGGCGGGGCAGCGGGAGAAGATGAATGATCGTACCAAAATGCCGAAATGCGGGGCGAAATTCCCAGATTGTCCGTGGGGAAAATTCGTTTTATCAAAATTGCCTCCCGCAGTTACTTTGTTACATAGAGGTCACAAATACATGTGCTCCTATGGAGCGATAGCGGGGAATAGAAAAACTTCGTTATATCCAGGAATTCGTTTTATGAAGGTTCGTTATAAGCAGGTTTAACTGTATACACATTCTGTCACAAATGTAGGAAGCGCAGCATCTATTTCAATTCCAGCAGGTTGATTAGTGAACGCCATTCATCATAAAAGCTTGCTCAATTATGCTTGCTGTAAAAAATTAAAATAACCAATAGCACAAATAGAAACACCTTACCACTGTATTGGTGGAAATTAGATTATTAGTATTATTATTAGTGGTTACCGAATTATGCAAATATGCTTGCTCACACTCTACAGAGAGCTTTAAAGTGAGCTGCACAGACATCAAGAAAATCAACATGCTTCAGTATAGCGGACTTGAATTACGAAACCTGATCCAAGCAGCAAAGGCTAAGTGACGGCTTCTCTGTGTCTCTGTAAGCATTCACATCTGATTGAGCGAACGCCTACAAATGGTTTCACATCACACGCAATCTTTGGACAGGCGGAGTGACACAACACGCTTGCGGAGTCATCGTGAGTCGCACGTCGGTGCACAGGTGACATCGCACTCCGCCCAGCTCACGCTGTCGATACTTTTGATTCACTCAGCAGCACACACCGCAAATAATCGCCACCAAATGGAATAGCTGCAACCAACCTAAGCGTTACAACCACAAACCAGGCGGTCGTCAAGCTACTGTACACCTCGACTGGGTCATATGTACACACTACTGAAGGCATATGAAGAGAGGGGCACGATGCAGAACTTGTGCCACTTCCCAGTTCCAAAACAAGAGGGTACGAGGAACTGGAGAAAGTCAGGGATGACGCGGAGACGGAGGCGATGACGGCGGTTCCACTTGTCACGCCAGTACACCGGCGCTCTGAAGAACCTGCAGCTCCTGAGGGGTGTGGTGCTCAGAAAACTTGCCGTAGAATGGCTGCCGGGAAAGCCCGGCGAGGAACTGGACAAGGCACGACTGCACGTCCACGCGCGAAATGGGGTCGGCCATGGCGTCGGGGTCGTCGCTGTCATCGTCATCGTCTGGGTCGAACACTGCATCAAGACGTGCAAGTCGAAACTTAGTGGAGTGGCATTTCCAGGTTGGGGGCAATTAAATTTCTCTTATATAACAACAATGATTATTTAAGTTTCAGTTCTAAAACCACGACACGATTTTGAGGGACGTTATGTTATGATGGGGGGGGGGGGGGGCTCGAAAAATATTTATCACCTTCTATTAAGGTTTCTTAATAGGCACCTGAATCCAAGTACACGAGCCTTCAGGATTTCACCTACATCATGATACAGTGCCTGCAGTGAGGTTGGCACATATAACACACACACACACGCATGCAGCAAGCGGCCCAGCAGTATGGCGCAAGCATAGTAGGCAATCATCATCATCATCACCACCACCATCATTATCATCAGCCTGACTACGTCCACTGCAGGACAAAGGCCTCTCCCATGTTCCGCCAGTTAACTCGATCCTGTGCTTGCTGCTGCCAATTTATACCCGCAAACTTCTTAATCTCATCTGCCCCCCTAACCTTCTGTCTCCTTCTAACCCTCTTGCCTTCTCTGGGAATCCAGTTACCCTTCATGACCAGCGATTGTTCTGTCTACGCGCTACATGCCCGGCCCATCTCCATTTCCTCTTCTTGATTTCAACCATTATATCCTTAACCCCCATTTGTTCCCTAATCCACTCTGCTCTATTCTTGTCTCTTAAGGTTACACCTACCATTTTTCTTTCCATTGCTCACTGCGCCGTCCTCAATTTAAGCTGAACCCTCTCTGTAAGTCTCCCATGTTTCTGCTCCGTAGCTAAGTACCGGCAAGATACAGCTGTTATATACCTTCCTCTTGAGGGATAGTGGCAATCTACCTGTCATGATTTGAGAGTGCTTGCCAAATGTGCTCCACCCCATTCTTATTCTTCTAGTTACTTCAATCTCGTGGTTCGGCTCTGCGTTATTACCTGCCCTAGGTAGGCATAGTTTTTTACAAATTGAAGTGCACTATTACCTATCTCGAAGCGCTGCTCTTTTCCGAGGTTGTTGTGCATTACTTTCGTTTTCTGCATATTCATTTTAAGACCCACCTTTCTGCTCTCCTTGTCTAACTCCGTAATCATGAGTTGCAATTCGTCCCCCGAGTTACTCAGCAATGCTATGTAATGGCAAGGTACTAAGGTACTCTCCATTCACTCTTATCCTTAACTGTTCTCATTCTAGGCCTCTACAAATCCCCTTTAAGCACACGGTAAATAGCATTGGGGAGATTGTACCTCCCTGCCTTACACCCTTCTCGATTGGTATTCTGTTGCTTTCTTTATGAAGTACTATGGTAACAGTTGATCACCTGTAAATTTCTTCCAGGATGTTTATATATGCTTCATCGACGCCCTGATGCCGCAGTATCTGCATGACTGCTGATATTTCTACTGAATCAAATGCCTTCTCGTAATCTATAAAGGCTATGTATAGTGGTTGGTTATATTCTGAGCATTTCTCTATTACCTGATTGATAGTATAAATGTGGTCAATTCTTGAGTAGCCTGTTCGAAATCCTGCTTGTTCCTTTGGTTGATTGAATTATAATGTTTTCTCAACTCTGTTAGCAATTACTTTTGTAAATAGCTTGTATACTACAGAGAGCAAGCTGATCGGCCAGTAATTCTTCAAGTCCTAGTCATCTCCTTTTTTACGTATTAGGATGATGATTCTTCCAAGACTCTGGTACTCTTCCCGTCAGGAGACACCTCGTAAACAGGGTGGCTAGTTTTTCTAACACAATCTGTCCTCCATCTTTCAGCAGATCTGATGTTACCTGATCCTCACCAGCAGCTCTACCTCTTTGCATGCTCTCCAAGGCTTTTCTGACTTCTTCTATCATTACTGGTGGGGTGTCATCTGGGTTACTGCTAGTTCTTATATTATTAAGGTCGTGGTTGTCCCAGCTACTGTACAGATCTCTGTAAAACTCCTCCACTATTTTAAGTATCCTATCCATATTGGTAGTTATTTTGCCTTCTTTGTCCCTTAGTGCATACATCCGACTTTTGCCTATTCCCCAAGTTTCCTCTTCACTGCTTTGACGCTTCCTCCGTTTTTCAGAGCGTGTTCAATTCTCTCCATGTTATACATTCTTACATCAGATACCTTACGCCTATTAATCAACTTCGAAAGCTCTGCCAGTTCGATTTTGTCTGTTGTACTTGAGACTTTCATGATTTGACGCTTCTTAATTATGTTCTTCGTTTCCTGGGAAAGTTTGCCAGTGTCCTGTATAACTACCCTGCCTCCAACTTCCACTGCACACTCCATAATGATACTCGTCAGATTATCATTCATTGTATCTATGCTAAGGTTGGTTTCCTCAATTAGAGCCGAGTTCCTGTTCTGAAGCGAGACTCTGAATTCCTTTACTTACACTTTCAGTGCTAGCTCATTGATTGGATTCTTCGGTATCAGTTTCTGTCGTTTCTTCTTCAAGTCTAGGCGAATTCGAGACCGCACCTTTCTATGGTGACTGCATCGTACCTTGCCAACCACTTCCACATCCTGCATGATGCCTGGGTGTGCACTCATTATTAAGTCTATTTCATTCTTATTTTCGCCATTATGGCTCCTCCATGTTTACTTACGGTTTCCTCATTTTCGGTAGAAGGTATTCAATATCCGTAAATTATTGCATTCTGCAAATTCTACTACTAGCTCTCCTCTGGCATTTCTAATACCGATGCCATAATCTCCTACAGCGTGGTTTCCAGCCTGATTTTTACCTACCTTTTCATTAAAGCCTTCCATCACTATAGTATACTGTGTTTTTACCTTACTTATTGCCGATTCCACGTCTTCATAGAAGCTTTCAACTGAAGCGTCATCATGGCAGGATGTAGGTGCGCAAGCCTGTATCATCTTCATCTTGTATCACTTATTGAGTTTAATTGCAATACCTACCATCCTTTTGTTAATGCTATAGTATTTTTCTATGTTGCCAGCTTTGTTTCTGTGAATTAGGAACCCCACTCCTACTTCTCTTCTGTCAGCCAAGCCCCGATAGCAAAGGACGTGCCCATTCTGTAGCACAGTATAGGCCTCATCTGTCCTCCTAACCTCACTGAGCCCTATTATATACCATTTAATGCCCTCTAGCTCCTCGAATAGTACAGCTAGACTTGCCTCACTAGATAAGGTTCTAGCCTTAAACGTTGTCAAGTTCAGGTTCCAATGGCGGCCTGTCCGTATCCAGAGATTCTTAGCACCCTCTGCTCCGTTGCAGATCTGACCACCGTTGTGGTCAGTTGCTTCGCAGCTGCTGGGCACTGAGGGCCATGAGTTAATTGACGTTTGCATGTGGGAGGTAGGCACCACACTTCAGAGTGAAGGCGTCACTTCACAAAGTGAGAAGGTTAAATACAGTTTCTTTGGAGGGTTTATTAACCCTTTTTAATACAAATGCACAGAAAAAATTGAACAAAATAACACTGCTTGGTCGCTAAGGGCACATCTAGGTTGAGGCAATACCTTGGAACTACTGATATATAATAATGATAATGATGATTAAAACTTTATTTTGGTCCAGAGAACACGCAGGGGAGACCTTGCGCCCTCCAGCTAATTGGTTGCGATTGATCACTTTTTCTGGCCCCGTTGAGTTCATCACAAACAAGTTGGACTGTATTACAACAGACTGTTGAAGTGAATGAGAGAGCCACTGATGCGAAGACGTGCTTCTCGGAAAACTTCTAATCCTAAACAAACTACAGGTCTTAAATGCTGGGCCAAGGCCCTTTCGTGTAATGTTATTATGAGATAACTGAACTTACCTGCATAGTCCGAGGCAGGGGCAAAGTTCCGCATGATGTTCTCCTGGGCATCTCCTTCCATATCGCCTTCTTCCTCCCATTCTTCATCCTAAAAAAAAGTAAAGAAAGATCCATATACAATTAAATATACTACATGTAAAATGTTTTTGTGCTGTCATTTCTGGCTTCAAATTGCATCACGCAAAAAGTGCTGCGCACAGGAACGATGGACAAAAAGGAAGAAACGAAGAGAATTAGCGCTGCTTCTTCCCTTTCGCCTGTCATTCTCGTGCGTTCTGCGGTTTGCAGACGATGAATATGTGTCAACTCGCACAAAGTGCCATTTTATTCAAGCTGCAATCAAAAAGTAACTGTCAACTAGAGAAAAAATTACAGGCTATTTTCGTTAATCCAACAATTACTGCAGCCTCAAGGAACACATTCAGTTTTGCACAGACCAAAATACAATGTAAATGTTGAGTGAAGACACATTGTTAAGAGAAAATCAATGTACTACTGAAACAAAAACAATGCGAGTTACTTTTACATTTTTAACATTCACAGTGAACACTACAGAGAAAGAGGCAAGTTGCTAAAGGACACATTGCATAAAGTGTGATGCTACATTTGAAAATGAGTATTCCATGTCTGCTGTCATAAGCAGCAGAATTAACTAAACATATGGACCAATAACGAGCCTGTATTACAAGCAAAGTCAGCATTACCTCGCATCCTGTATCGACTTATCCGACCCATGTCATTTATTGAATACAAAGCTATGACAGCAGAGCTATGATAACAACAAATGAACGCAGTACCTCAGATTCATCCTCATCCTTGTGAGCCGTTGCATGGTCGAGACAGTTGCTCAGCTCGTGAATCATAAGTTTGTAAATCTTCACCAAGACTGGAATCTCTGTCCACTGGTCTGGATCTGCGAGTGCCGTTAAAAACGAAACAGTTTCAGAGGAAAGAAGACAGAATGAGGAGCATGTAGACTGAAATTAAAAACTGCTGCAAAGTGGTAAGCATAGTTTACAAGGCAGCTAGCATCATGTCATTCCCACATCATGATCATACACAATACTCTATCGTCTGTGCAGCAGGTGTACAGGGAATATCCCTTTGGCCTCGACCTCTACAGAAACTAAAATGGATTATTACTTTCGTATTGTAGTTTGCGTTACAGCATACATTGTAGAAAGCCATGCAATAAAATTTTTAGTCGGCACAATATATATATTTTTTTCAATGGTGCCGATTAGCATTTGGATATTTTTATGTGCACGAAGAATCTGTAACTAATTCCCCCCCCCCCCCCCTTTTCCCCCTTTTTTTTTTTCAGGCATCACTTGTGTGACAACCTGTTGACTGAATATACAAATGAGACACTTAAAACGATGGTAAGCTGAAGTTGGGCACGCAGACTCGAACACCACAGGGAGGATGCTTGTTGCCCAGTTCCCTAGTTCTGTGTAGTACATGTCTGCATGCCACCTTTCCGTGACGAGGCAATCACTTGCGGCAATTTCGGCATGCTGCTGACAAAAGGCACAAGCAAGAAACAAAGGTAGTACAATAGAATCTTGAGGATGCGATTACGGGTGATGCGAATTTCGCTGTGATACAAATTGATACGAAAATGACACTTTTAAAAATTTGATTTTTGGACAGATTTTCGGTTTCCAAGAGCCGCGTCTCCCCATGCGGCGTGTGAATTTCCATCGAGTATGGCTGCTCTCGCTCCCTCTGATGGCAAGCCTGAATGTGCCGCGCCAGCAGCATTAGTAAGAAAACTGCGGCACTTTATTGAGAGATGGTGAAGGCAGAAAGGTCCAAAAAGAACGTCCTGGACTTTTTTTTTCAGCAAGAAGTAGTTGCAAATTAAGTTCTTGTCCATCTTCATAATCAGCTTTAGCTTGCTTTTGGTTCACACCAATGTAAGATACAAATATTTTGAGTGCTCCCTTCGAATTCCTTTGAATTCTTATCACCGAGACGTTACTGTATTACAAATGCCTAAAGAAATCAATTGAACGAGACGTGCTGTACGTACTAGCAGCACTCTTGGACCTTGTCCGGATGCCTTCGTTCGCATTGATCACCCGGTCCCCTTTGACGTTGATGCTCACCAGACGAGAGTCGTTAGTCTGAATTCCATGCTCCAGAAGCTTGCATAATGCCAGTATGCTGAAAGAATAATTACGAGAGAAAAAGAAAGATTAGCTTCAATTTTTATTTTTTTAACACAAACAAAGGTGTCTTTGTCCATGACATATAAATTATGTATTGTGCAAGTAGTGTCTTACAAAAAAGAGATGTGCCATCAACACTCATAGAAGTGCAAACACTCCAAAGAAAAGGCAAAGTGCAGTGCCTCTTGTACAGGACTACTTTTGATGCTACCATATAAGCATATATAAAGCAATGCACGTTAAAAACAATTGCAATTAAGGCCATGTAAGACATTATGTTTAGGACCACAGTACTTGCTTGTCTTTTACATAGGGTTGCGCGAATATTCCAGCACTTGGAATACTTGAACAAACATTAAGGGGAGACGCGGGTCGAAAAGTCGCGTTTTTTTTCCAAATTTCACCTTTTCTGTTTTTTGTTGCTTTATCATCTTTATACATTATATTTTGACATCTGAAAATATCACAGCGAAATAAGCATCAGAAGTCAGTGAAAAACGCGTCTGAGTGAGCGGCAGTGACGCGCGGCATCACGAAATTTACACAAAACGGGCTGCTGTTCGCGTGCTCGCGGGGCCGCGAAGAGAGCTGTCCGCCATATTGCGGCCGCTGGCTCGTGTAGAGTTGTCCTTACTCTCCACGATCCCGGTTCTTGAAGTCTCGTACGTTCACGAAAAATCTAAAAAAAAGCAACAAAAACAGTCTTTTCCCGCCGTTTCAAACCGCGCGCCACTAACGCAGGGCCGCCATTGGCTGACAGCACCCGTGTTTTCTTGCCGTAGTTCGCTTCACTGTTTTCCGGAGTTATTTTTCGCTGTTTTCGTGCGATGGCAAGCCCGAAAAAGGCCGTTGCCGACCATCGGAAATACAGAAGTAAGAACAAGTTCAGAGGGAAGCGGCGGAGGACGTACAAGAAAGCCACCGCCAACGAAAATGTCCGCGACGGGCCAGCGGCCGGTAGGCCTAACATCGACCACGGCAACGTCGACCATGGCAACTGCGACGACGAGATCAACGCTGCAGTGAATTTTGTGAGTGCATCGCAGAAAAAGATCGCGTTATTCGAAAACGACGTCAGGCCGAATGCCGATCGTGCCGAAAGCGTAGTGCTGTGCGAGTTGGGTGCATTGACGGCCGTCGTCGCAGGCGCGGCATGCCCCGTTTGTCACGAGAGTAAACTCGCAGTTCGGGCACCGAATAAAAAGCGGAAAGGCCTTTCGGCGTTTCTGGAGCTACACTGCGAGAATGCGGAGTGCTCGGAGAGCATCCTTTCGTCCGCGTACTCGTCGAAGCGGGTCGCGTCAGATGGCGGCCGCGGTGCAAGCAGAAGCTACGACAGCGGGAGTTCGCGTGACGCCTTTGCCGTGAACCTGAAAGTGGTGCTTGCAGCGCGTGCCGTCGGTATCGGGCATGAGCAACTTTCACGATTTTGTGCAGTAGTTGGATTGCCAAACCCTATGCACCATAAGACCTTCCATGCTATCGGCAAAAAGATTCACAGTGCGGCAGTGAAGGCTGTCTGTGAAAACATGCAAAGGGCACGCAGCGTCACCAAAGAGGTGGCTGGTAACAGTGACGTGCCAGTCATGTTTGACGGCACATGGCAAAAAAGAGGCCACAAAAGCCACAATGGTGTGGGAACTGTAGTGTCCTTGGACACTGGTTTGTGCCTGGACTATGAAGTGCTTTCCAACTTCTGCCTGGCGTGCAGTTTGCATAACGACATGGGAGGCGATGAAGAAACATGGCAGGCGTTTCATCATCCCGTTTGTGAGAAGAATTGCGACTGTTCTTCGCATGCCATGGAGGCCGAAGCTGCAGTGCGCATTTGGCAGAGGACTGTGGACTATGAGACACCCCTGCGGTTCACCATCTTCCTAAGCGATGGAGACAGCAAGGCCTACAACGGGGTCTGTGATGCCAACGTGTACCCTGACACTCCAATTGAAAAAGAGGAGTGCACCAACCACGTGGCGAAACGTCTGGGCACCGGCCTGCGGAAGCTGCCAACGCCACTTCCACGAGGGGAGAAGCTGAAGGAGACCACCATCCAGAAGCTTCAAACTTACTTTCAGGTGGCCATTGTGAACAATCGGGGAAATGTCCACAAGATGTACACTGCCATATGGGCCTCATGTTTGCACTCGTGCTCAACAGACGGTGCTGGAAGTCACAAGTTCTGTCCTGCAGGCCCAGACTCGTGGTGCAAGCACCGACGTGCTGAGGCGCAGGGCCAGCCTGCACCGTGCCACACCCCCCTCCTGACCAAGGCCCAGGGTTTGGCAGTCCTCCCAATCTACAAGCGTCTCACAGATGCGAAGCTGCTTGCCCGGTGCCTCCACGGCAAGACACAGAACGCGGCCGAGTCCCTGAACAGCAAAATATGGCTGCTGTGTCCAAAGACCCGGTTTGCTTCCCGGACTGCTGTGGAAACAGCCACAGCCATTGCAGTCCTGTGGTTCAACCGGGGGCACGCGAGCTTTGAAAAGGTGCTGGAAGAGCTTGGGGTGCTTCCTTCGGAGGCCCTGGTTACCCTCAGCGACCGCCGAGACAGCATGCGCATGCACAAGATGAATGTGCGTCAGACCGCTGAGGCGAGGGCACACCGTCGCAGTGCAGCCAAGAGGGCCCGGGTGGAAGAGTCCTGCCGCACCAGCCGGGAAGGGAAAACCTACGGTGCTGGAGAGTTTTAGACAACTGATATTCCCTCTGGACATGTGTGTATGTGTTCAGCACAAGTTTCGTGCTACTGCGTTTTTCATTTTTGTAAATACAGACTTTCAAACTTTCAAACGCGTTTTTCTCATTTCGCAATTTTGGCCAATTTGCATTTTTGCGGGAAGTGTTTCGGGCACTTAGAATGGTCATACGACGACGAAATTTGGCACACACATTGAGGAGAGTGCGTAGGGTGCCGATATCTACTTGAATCAGCACAACCTATCAGCTGTAAATATCTATTAATAAATTTAATGGTGGTCGAGTGGAAAAAAAAGGGTAGTTTGCTACACAGATGTTTTTTTCATAGTTTCAAAGTTGGAGCACAATTTCTAGCTAGATATCGGCACTCTATGGCTAATAGGGAGCAAAAGGAGCCATTGAACAACTCTCTGCATGAACATTTAGTATGCGCGAAAGTTCCCGGAAAACTTATCAAGTTTCACCATTACTTGAAACACAACTCCCAAACTATTGCACTTATGTAAAAACTGATTACAGATTTGGAATCAGGAGGAAAAACTGCATCAGTGGTCCAATTTCTGAAGCTCTAAGTTGAATAACAAAAAAAAAGTGCTTTCGAGGAGCGTCTCCCCTTAAAGTATTTGAATTAGCCTCAATTTGAATTTATATTATTGAAAATTTTGAATTGAACGAATAGATGTACAATAGCTTGCATGTAACACCTCTGTAAAGATGGCTTCACTGCAGTAAAGGAGTACTATACCATGAATGCACCTTTCCAAGAAAAATATACGCTGCGTAGATATCTACCTCTGGTTAAATGAACAATGTACCCTCACATCCATTCTTACATCTTCAATATCAAAAGCATGTTATGCTGGCTTATATGCTCCAAGTATAGTGAATTTTAATATATAACATATTTTTCAGTTGCATCACTTATTTTATCAATTTATTTCTACAGTAAGTCGACAAAGCCGAAATCAAAGGCAATACAGCGTAATGAATTCACAGCAAAGCACGAATACATATTTTTCACAGTGTCTTCGCCATATTTGCATGCCCCAGGAAGTTTTTTTTTCACAACGTTAGTTGAATGGTACTTGTGAGACACTCCCCAATGCTCACCTGACTTTGGTCTCGTACGTTCCATAAAAAAGTGCCTGCCTAGAGCACCACTCCGCGAGGACGAACGCTAGTGCCGACTGGCCCGTCGGTCCCGGTACACCCGAAAGAAAGTCGAGGACTGCCGACATCTGGGTGTGCACAAGATGTGCAAACACCAGCACCAAACTCTGCAACACAAGAAAATTGCAGTTAGACCAGGGTACGCTTACTGTACAGTAAAATCTCGGTATAACAAACTTCAGGGGACCACGGAAATTTGTTGGTTATTTTGAAAGGTTGTTGTAGTGAAAGCTCAAAAATGAACCATAAGTACATATTTTTCACCGACCAAAACGACTTACCTTTACAACAGTGGGTCCTTGAACTCGTTTTTCATGAGAAAAAACAAATGCACAAGTGAACACTAAAACTTGCACGTTTACTTTAAAGAAGTCTGTCATTATTTTTTTTTTTGGCACGAGCACCACAAACTTTGCAGAGCGAAGGCCTCCAGCTCATCCACATTCCTGTGGTGCGATTCCGTTCTTTGGTCACAACAGCCTGCCTTTTGCTTTCCAGTTGGCGAAGAATATCCATTGTCTCGCTTCGCGAAAACTGCTTCCGCTTCTTCGTCGCAAGCAGAGATGAACTGATTTGTAGTATCATCGCAGCCCAAACGCCAACTTGCTTTGCGGATGCGATAAGTAATCACCGAAAAGAGATGAACACGACTGAAAGACAAGACCCCCAAAGAAAAACCAAAAGCGTAATGGCTGTCATCGTCTCTTTCGAAGAAAAAAAAAGTGCTAAAAAAAACTTCACGCATTTCGTTTTCTGCTCTCTCGCTGTCTCAGGTTATCCGCGCTCATGCTTCCTGCTCCGCAACTCCCACTCTGCCTCGCTGACCTTGCCCTCCCGTGTTGCCCTCGCCTCTGCGCTCGCTTGTAAACCTGCAGCGTTGACGTTTCAACAACATGAAAAAAATCGTCCTTTTGTTTCTTTTTTTTTTTGCCCACCACATTGTCACGCGTTTTCCGAGAAGCAAGGTGTCCCTTTGCTTTGTCGTCTGCTTGCGTACCGCTCCGGTGATCGCAATGGATTTCAGAACATAATTTCGTAGCACTGAGGTGTCGTTAATATAACGCGGAACTAAATTAACACTCGTTATTCTGAAAAGTTCGGTATTCTAAAGTACGTAGTAGTGAAATAGTTTTAAATTGAAACTATTAGCAGACGGCGTGGGATTTTTTAAATGTTTGTTAATCTGAAAAGTTCGTTAATGTGGTATTCGTTCTACCGATATTTCACTGTATAAAGTAATGCATGCCGGAATAATAATTGGAGCCTGCGTTTCAGCATATACTGCGGCCGAAATCGCACAATTTAACTGTCAGGGTTTTAGCTCCCAAATCACAATGCGATCAGGAGAAACGCTGCAGCAGAGGACTACGGAAATTTTGACCCCTCAGGGTTATTACAGTTTCACTTAAATTCAGATGCACGGGCCTAAAACATTTGGCCTTCGTTGCCATGCGGCCGCTACGGCCGGGATTCAATCCCACAACCATCCGGTCAGAATTAGAGCTCCATAACCGCTAAACAGATGCGGCGGGTGACAGAATCAACCATGATTTGCGTAGTCGGGTTGGCTAGTAAAACAAGTAATTTAAATTTACGACCCAAATGGTGCATAAGCATGGCATGAGACCAGCGGACATTCTGTGCAAGAAAGATCACCGGTGGTATGCGCTATGTTTAGTTTTACAGCACTCATGCTTCATGAAACTTTCGAATTCACATGCAATCCAGGCACACACTTCAGACATGAACATTTCTCTTTCCAGTGTTCTGTGTCCACTCTACTGATAATGCACCGAGTGACTCGAGTGTGTGTGATATTTTAGAACAGGTGCATTTGCACCACACGTTTACACGAGGTTTTCAGGGCCCCAGATTGGGAAAAGTTAGGGATGAAAGTTAATGGAGAGTATGTTAGTAACCTGCGACTCGCTGATGACATTGCCTTGATGAGTAACTCAGGGGACGAATCACAGCTCATGATTGCTAAACTGGACACGAAAAGCAGAAAAGTAGGTCTGAAATTTAATATGCACAAGGTGCAACAGGTTGTGTGTAATTTGCAACAGTCTCGGCAGAAAACAGCACTTTGTGATAGGTGGAAAGATGCTGGAAATTGTACAGGTTAGGACAAGTAGCAATCACGGAGCCAAACCACGAGATTGAAGTAACAAGAAAAATAAAAATGGGGTGGAGCACATTCGGCAAGCACTCTCAAATCATGAATGGTAGATAGACACTACCCTCAACAGGAAGGTATATAATAGCTACATCTTGCCAGTACTTACCTACGGAGCAGAAACCTGGAGGCTTACAAAGAGGCTTCAGCCTAAATTGAGGACGACGCAGCGATAAATGGAAAGGAAAATGATAGTTGTAACCTTTAAGAAACAAGAAGAGAGCAGAGTGCGTCAGGGAACAAACCAGGGTTAAAGATATCATAGTTAAAATCAAGAAGATGAAATGGACATTGGCTGGGCACGTAGCGCGTAGGCAGGATAACGGCAAGTCATTAAAGGTAGCTGACTGGTTTCCCAGAGAATGCAAACGCACAAAGAAGAGACAGAAAGTTAGGTGGGTGTATGAGATTAAAAAGTTCGCAGGTATAATGTGGCAACAGAAAGCACAAGACCGGTTTGATTGGCGGATCATGGGAGAGGCCTTTGCCCTGCAGTGGCTCTATTCAGGCTGACGATGATGCATTATAACTGGTATGCCTTGCTTGGCTGTGCCACAAACTGCATGAATACACTTGAATAATAAATTTCTATGGGAGGAAAAGCAGTCGTCAAGAAGGCTGCACTTTATGCTGCTTCGTGCTACAAGTAAAGTAAAACACCATTAATGCGACCTTCATGGGACAGAGCGAATGTCCGAATTGTCGCGAGTACGAACAAAACACTTAAAAAACATCTCCTACATCATCAGACTCTGGACATAGCGGCGGTGTTGTTGCCGATCTCGTCCAAATGAGGGAACGATGTGGTGGTGCTACCGTTCAAACCGTGATGCCATCGGCGGCGCCTCATGAAAAAAAATGCTGCATCTTCGACATACCCTTGCTGACGCCACGATAGCTATACCAAGGTTTTGTGATCGTTGTGGCAGAATGTAAAAATGTCCGCTCCGTAAGCAGCGTGCGCGTGCACTGGGATATAACACTTTTCACGACTTCGTTGCCTCTGTGGCTGAGGTTATCGATGCGTCAAAAAACAGTGAATCCGAAGACGATGACCGTTCGTTGGACCCCTCAGAAAAAACGACTTTATGATTCCAAGTCGACTTTAGGATTTCGCGTATAGGTCAACTCTGATTGTAGGTTGACCCCCAAACTTTGGAAGGCCATTTTAGAAAAAAAAATAATAATAATAAACGTCGAGTTGTAATTGGCAATATATGGCATTTTGTACGTGACGATGACGCATCCATTTCAAACAAATGTGAAACTGATGCATCCACTTGACACATGACTGGTGCCGTGGCGCTGACCTGAATCACGGATAGCGTCTCGCTCTGCTGAAGCTTGCTGAGGACTGCCCGGAGCAGCAGCTCAGTGCCGTCACCCAGGGAGAGGCCCGCTTTCGAGATGACCGCTGACACCAGTCGGCCCACAAACATGGCTGCAGACTCTGGTGTCTTGGGGTCCAACAGGTGTTGAGCAACCTTTCAAAAATTGAAGAGAGCAATCTAAAGTCCTGCTATTTCAAGATCTCTTGCTTTTCATACATAAGCTCTCAAAAGTGCTTTCTGCACTGCCACAGGACAGTACTGTAAGCATCGAATGAAACATGCAAGTTAACCACACAGCACGGCAAACTAGTCGAAGTGCAACTGCCAAGTCTCACTTGTCTTATCGTTTCATCAATTTTACTCAGCAAGGCTGAAACCTACTATGTATAATGGTTATAAGGACACTAAAGTCAAACAATGACTTGGCTTAGGCTGATAAACTGCACTCTGAGAACTCTAACCTCGTAAGTTTCATCATCATAAGTTCATTATTAAAGAAGAAAATCAAGGTCAAAATTTCTTTTTGAATTTCGCACCATAATCGATGCCTGCGACGTCAGTGATTGCATGATGGGTTTTCCGCATTTTCGTGACATTGGCACAACGAAATTTTCCTAAACTTCGTATGTTAGGTCTACGACCGCACAGATGACAACGTACTTCATTTCAGCTCATAAGCAAAAACGTAGGACCTAGTAGATGCCATCAAAATCTTAAAACGTCAACAATGTTTGGTGTATATAATTGTATGGCAACTTGTGTGTTTTCTCTCAAACTTAAATAAACCTCATATAATCACAAAATAAGTTTGTGTGCCATCGTAAACCTTGCTCTTATCTTCAGACCAAGTGACCCACTTCCAGCCCTCTGATGCACAGCAGTATGAAATCAGCTAAAACAGAAAACATTGCCAGGGAAAGTAAAGGGGACGTTATTTATTAGTAGCAAATGCAGCAAACGTGAAGAAAGAGAAGTGGACAAAAAGGTAACTTGCCATCGGCAGGGACCGAACTTGCGGCCTTCGAATAACACATCCAATGCTCTACCAACAGAGCTACCACGGTGGCCACCCCTCTGTCCATTTTACGGGATGTATATGTGCATTTAAACGTGAGAGCATGAGTCAACGCTGCCAGTAGCCATGGCAGCGAGTAGCACTTGCCCACCACACGAACAGCTAGACGACCTTTGGCTTCAATCCTTATTAACATGCATTAACTGAACAAGTGCAATCAATTCTAACAGACCTACAGCTCTGATTGTCAAATCATTCATGCTGCCTACATGGAACATTTTAGGGCAATATACATTTCTACTGCAGCAATAACAAGCCACCTTGAAATGTTAATTTTACATAAAAAAAATTGATCATCTACTTCAAGATTAAAAAAATCGCTGAGAAAGATGATTTATGTTCAGGACAGAACAACTTTCCATTGATAAACACCTAATAATAAGCTCCACTCTGATGTCTAAATACAGCCTCCATTCGTCCCCACTTGCGAAGCAACAGCACTTGGCATTAGACATCTATAATCTTACCTTCGAAAGCTTATCATAAAGTGTTAAACAGCCAAACTAGGACATAATATTCATGTTCTTACCTTGACAATGTAGTAAAGCCCCGTTTGACCCTGTTCATCCCTCCAGGCAGCAACCTGGTCATATGCAACTGACACATACGCCCGGATGCACTCTCCACCATTCTGTAAAGAATACACACATCACGGCCAACTAACACCAAGGGTTTTTTGCTCAACAACACCACATGTGGGTCTAACTACAAGAAGGCTGCAGGAAAAACAAAAATATACAATATGAAAGAACTAAAGCTGACAGCGTAACTAGAACAGAACAAGTTTTCCATGATGAGCACTTTTTAATGTTTACTACTAGTGTTCATTGTAATAATAATTGGTCGATTCCACGAAAGATAAAAAAAACTCGATTGTACTTGATATCTCTCGATTTTCTTCGTATTTTTGTATATTATGCCCGTATGACCGAATATCATGAAATCAAGTTTCAAGTTCTTTAAATTTTATCAAAATTATATTCCTTTTAACCCCGCCAGAAAAGAGTCACCACAGCATTCACACCAGAGAGACTGCTCACTTCGGCTTTACAAAATTAACGAAAATTTTAAACATTTCTAGTGTGGAAACTGAAGTGCACTTGCCTGCAACGTTGCATTGTCGTCCGTGAGCATGACGCACTGTACCACCGTGGGAAATGCCTGCGTGATGAGGGGTTCCGCAAGCGGTGGCGCACTGCTACGGACAATCGTCTGGAGAACGTCAAGGGAGACCTACCAACAGGCAAAAGCACGGTGCTGATGAAACGCAAGTCGGACCAAATAATTCCGAAAGGCTTGAAAGTGATACCATCCATTACTTAGCGCTGCACAGTTGCGAAGTAACATTAATGTCATTGTGCATGTTTTGCTGTTTGGTTACACGGAAAATGCTACTCAAAAAAAAAAAGCTCCTTTAATTATAGCCGAGGGCAATAAAGCTTTTGCTGTTTACATAAGCATTTATTGTGATTTCAAATATGTAATCAACTTTATAGTAAGTTGCATGGTTTTCATTTTATATCATGACTATGCAAAAAACAAAGCTCTCCTTGCACAGACTTTTCCTGCCATAAAGTTTTATAATTATCAACTATTAATGGCTTATATTGCTTTACATTAACGGTAGAATGCAAATAAGTATATATAAAACATTTAAGTGAACAACAAAAATTGTAATGTGATAAGTTTTGAAACACTCAGCTCATACTGATTGCTTTCCTTAAATTCACAACAATCATATAAGCAGTATCATGTTTTAGAAGAGACAATTGCACATTTTACATGTTCAGGAATATGCCGGAAACATTTCATCCTGATCTGGCCATCTGAAATGTACTTAACTCAAGAAGTTTCTCAAAGTGCATCTCAAGAAATACGCATTTAAATGTAGAAGCAAAAGTTGATCTGTGTGGATAATATATGCTTTTTAAAATGATTTCTTCCGTTATTATGAGCCTGGGAGTCATGGTTATTTTGAGCATGTGGCTTTTGTGAACTACTCATGCGAAACGCAATGGCAAGCGGCCAGGTGACAATTTCCAGGGGACTCTAGACGATGAGCTCTTTCTAGTTTTTACTAATCACTTTGTGCTCTTCAAAAGGAGGATGATATCAGCTGCCGAAACTATCGGCAATCATTCTACACAGCGGCAGTCCGGCATAAACGAGTGCGACATTTACAGTTGGGGAAAACAGGTGGAGGCCCTCTTTGTGAGTAGTGGCCCAAGAAGTTTCCAGAGGCCAAAAAATGGAGAATTTCAAAACATTGAACGCGCACTGAGAAACTTCATTTGGGAGTAACAAAGCACCACTGGGGCTCCCATCGACACTTGTGCTCGACACGATTTGGTGTCATCTCTGACAAGAGACTGCTGCATGATTTCCATGCCGTGCTCATTGTGGAATAACATGCCAGCAGCAGCCTCTTGATAAGCACCTAAGTAGACCCTTTAACGTTTATGTATATATAATACTTAAGGTGTGTGTGTGTGCATATATATAGGCAGGCATGGTGGTGGAGTGGCCATAGCATTGGAAGTAGTCAAATAGATCCCCCGTGAGCAGTCACAACATGGTTCATTTCGACGTTTCAGCCAGAGTCTGGCCTTCATCAAGAATATATATATATATATATATATATATATATATATATTCTGGTCTAACATTTGCTAAAACGTTCATTGTGTGAATTACGCTTCTATATAAATATATATACACACACACTAAGGGTCTAATATATTTAAGGTGTATATATAATGGTATTGACATTAAACGTCTATTATAACGTGGATGGATTCAGCTGGACAGGTGAAACGGGCCTCACCAGTGATGCTGTGCTTTCAAAAAGTGCTCGATTTCAAACGTCAGTGATGGCATTGAAGGTGAGGTGCTGCGAGAGGTCATCACGGATAAAGGAGCTTCGCAATGAAGTGCACCATATGACAATGAATAAGCATGTAAATAAGCGCATTCAGTTTTCGTTTTCCTCGGGCTATATTCAGGAGACCACTTTCTTTCTCGTGTTTGCTATACCTGAAAGACACTTCAGACTGTACGTGGGTCTGAAGGTCACACAAGTGCTAATTTTCCCATCGACTGTTAAGATGAGACATGAATCCCTGATTTTATTTTTTTTACTTCTTTATCAAGCGAGGTGAAACTTGCTGAGTTTAGGTGTATTTGTATGCAGATTTCAAACATGCAATTATTTTTGTAGCAAGATATGTAGTTTTTAAAATATCCAACAATTATAGTGCATTTTGGGAGCCACAGTATGCCTAAACTGAGGGAGTTACAAAGTAATTAAGTACATCAAAATTAGCTGGAATGAGTAAAAGATGCAAAAAAAACAAAGAATGGATGGTCTAAACCTATTGGCACAAAAGTTATGGTATGTTCAACATTTGTAAATTAGTCGATGCCAAGTTAGAATTTCAGTCACTAATATTCAAGATACCACAACTTTTGTTCAAACGGGCTCGGAACGACTGTTTTGTTTTCTTGCACTCTGAACTCATTCCAGGTCATTCTGATAAGCTTTTTACTTTGTAAGTCTCTCACTTGAGGCAAAGTATTGCTTCTAAAATGACACCTCAAGTATTAAAGCTACATATCGTACTAAGGAAAAAATTGACATATTTGAAATCGGTACACAAATATACATGAACACAGGGAGTTTCATTTGGGTCAATCATTATCATCATCATCATCAGCCTGACTACGTCCACTGCAGGACAAAGGCCTCTCCCACGTTCCGCCAGGTAACCCGGTCCTGTGCTTGCTGCTGCCAATTTATACCCGCAAACTTCTTAATCTCATCTGCCCACCTAACCTTCTGTCTCCCCCTAACCCGCTTCCCTTCTCTGGGAATCCAGTTAGTTACCCTTAATGACCAGCGGTTATCCTGTCTACGCGCCACATGCCTGGCCCATGTCCATTTCCTCTTCTTTATTTCAACTATGATATCCTTAACCCCTGTTTGTCCCCTAATCCACTCTGCTCTCTTCTTGTCTCTTAAGGTTACACCTACCATTTTTCTTTCCATTGCTCGCTGCGTCGTCCTCAATTTAAGCTGAACCCTCTTTGTAAGTCTCCAGGTTTCTGCTCCGTAGCTAAGTACGTAGCTAAGTCAATAAAGAGCTTTTAAAGGAAAAAAGATTTTGGGTGTAGTGTTTCCCTTCAGGTACTAAACTCCTCTCAACACAATCACTTCCCAATGCTTGCCCAGTGACTTACAGCCTGCAGACCAGATGGTATCTTGTCCAGGGATGCTTGGAGGATCGAGATTATTGTCGGGAGCAACCGCTGCTGCAACGCTCCACAGCAGAGGGGGTTGCGGCAGAGCTCTTTGAAGATGTCCTGGCATATCGACACCAGGATAGGGTCTGACAAGAGAAGCACGACAACGAGGTTTCATTAAACGGGATCAACGATTTCACTTTTTCTAGATGAACCCAGTTCAGCAAGCAGTGTTGACATGGCTAAACTGGCAAGATGTGTACCTGCTCGATGACAACAGTTGTCAGGTCAAGCCAGAGTTCTTAAATCAATTTAATAAAACCTTTAAATAAGAAACGTATGGTTTAATAGACACAGCACTTTGAGGATGACCTGGCACCTTCCTTAGAAGTTAAATGGGACTCAGAATGTGTTCCAATACACCAGACAAGCGGCCTGTCTCTGTGCATACGGAAGCCACTCCTCTTGTGATGGAACGTCAAGCCATACATGACGCTATTCAAGCCTCTAAGCTGCCTACAATTAAGCAGATAGACGTATACACTGATTCCTTAGGAGCTATTAATGAGATCAAGAAAGTACACAAGGCAATTCATAAGCTGAACCATAATACCGCTACTTGCGTAAACGTACATTGGATTCAAGGCCATGCTGCGAACCCACACAACATTGCTGCTGACCAGCAGGTGCACTGCTCTCCAGACATGAACCTTCCAGCCATTCCCCTTCCACCTCAACCCCTTAACTTACTCCATACCCACAAAAATGTTCTCCGGCAGGATACACGTGGTCTCATTTCACCGTGTGTCTGTTCTCTCCCCCCTCATCTTACTAGGGCGGAGGAAGTTATGCTTAAGAGGCTTCGGGCAGGGGTGGCCCTTACACCAGCCGTTATATTATCATAGAACTGGCCACATTTAGGAGTTGGTGATACGTGTCCGTATTGTCCCACTACAGCGATGCATACCACCTTATATGGACATGTAAAGGGCTGCAGCCAGAATGCTCCCGTCACCTCCTTCAAGCCGGCCTTCGCTACAGCGACACAGCCAGTTACAACCACTGGATACATGACAACACTTTCCACAAGGCACTACTTCACTTCATACACAACACCGACCTAACGGCACACATTTAAAAAACATACTCGCAAGAATATTATGCCTTAAAGGCAAGTCTTTATTGCAATTAAAAATTAATTTTAAAAAGTCTGTTCTAGGCGAGAACAACAAGAAACGGCACCATGTTGACCAGTGTGCTTGCCTTTGATAGTGGCTTGACTGTTAAACGGTAACCGAGCATTAAAGGGATACTGAACAAAAATTGGAAAAGCTGACGAAACTTCAAAATTCCACTCGGAAGATGTCACTGTTCCGATAAACGGAGTGTATTTCCCGTATTTTTGATCAGTTGGTTGTATTTTTGATGGATTGCGAGCGCGGGGCAGCTGCTCGGGAGCGCGAGCAGTGACGTCGAACTTACCGAGGAGCATGCAGGATGCACATGTTCTTGTCCCCCGTTTCCTTTTCTCCAACTGTTGTTTCACTCCACTCTTTCCCTTCCACAAAAGCGCTGGCACTTAGCCTCAGCCGGAAGCATTGTCCGCTGCTGTTGCTGTTCATACCGTTTATGGGAACCGCAGTGGAATTTGAGCGATTCGAGAGACGCGGGTGATGGCTGGCATTGTTGGCTTGCCAGTTTCCGGTGAGTTACCCAACATCACACCCTCTAGTTCTTGGCGCTGCTGCTAGACGCGACAGTTTGTGAAAAATGCATAAAGATCATTATTTTACCGTAGTTTCTGTTTGGAATAAAGGTTGTCTCTATCAATTTCACAATCCAATTTATCAAATTGGCTGAAAATATTGACGGCAAAATTTTTGTTCAGTATCCCTTTAAGAGGAGATGCTGTCCAAAAAATAAGTTCTTTAAATCTGTAGCCTAAAGCAATGAAATTTGTGCAGTTTACACAAGTTTTTATGCTGATTTCATTATGTGATCAGTTTTACAGCAAGTTGCATACCTGTTATTTTGTACCATCACAATGTGTAAAATATACCATACTTTATTTTTTTTGGAGAACTTTCTGCCACTGAGCTTTTATAATTATTAACCAGTAATGGCTCATAATGCCCCACATTAACTGCAGAATGCAAATCATTATCAGGACAGTGCGATTTTGATATGTGGGGTTTAACGTCCCAAAACCACCATATGATTATAAGAGACGCCGTAGTGGAGGGCTCCGGAAATTTCAACCACCTGGGGTTCTTTAACGTGCACCCAAATCTGAGCACACGGGCCTACAATCAGGACAGTACGTACAAAAACACTGAGTGAACAAGAAAAACTTAAAAGTTTAGAATGCCGAGCCAAGACTGATCACGTACTTTAAGTTCATAATTATGTAAAGTAACATGACGTGTAAAAAGAGATGCAGTAAAACCTCATTATAACGATGTAGGATATAACAAACTAATGGATATAACAAAGCAATCATAATTCCCTTTGAAATTCCCATAGACGCCCATGTATTTAAAACCTCATTTTAACAAAGCAAAAATTTCCTCACAATAAATATAATGAACTATTCTTCGTCTACAATGAGCATTTACTGATCGTTTTGGTATACGTCGATTCAATATGGCGCGATGATTTACGTCTCATCACGGCTACGATAATTCAAAAATCGCTCCTTGCGCTACCTGGGAGCCGTTTGCCAACACGCGTGTGGGAGCAAGTCCCCCTGCCTCCCCTTTCCTCAGGAAATAATGGACTCGCACGTGCAGCAACTCACGCGTGCGTGTCTGCCGGCCTCCCCTCTCCTGTAGAACTCGGCCGCCCAGGCGTTTATCCTCCCCCCCCCCCCCCTTCAGCTCTGCTCCGGGGTCTCGCGCACCGCCTGGATGGCAGAGATTGTGGCTTTCTTCCTTGTAGTTCGCTGTGGAAGAGCAACACCGCCTGTATCAGTTTTTGCCACTACACACTAGATGGACAACGGGAGCGGCCAACATAAGCGCAAAAATATAACAATCGAGCAGAAAATGGCGATGTTGAAAGCCGTTGAGTCTGGCGTCAAGAAAAAAAAAAGTGGCCGAAGATTTCGGGGATGTCGCCAGTGGGTGCCGAGGGCGACAGGCTCAGACGACGTGGAACGCTCTACTTGACGCCAGCCTTGTGTCTGACTGAGACACTTTCTGAGTGTACGTCGGTGCCGATGCTGACGTAGTGACGACCCAAGAATTGTCAGATGCGGAAATTGTGCCCAGGGTGACTGGCGTGCTTGACGACAGCGGCAAATGTGTCGACACCCCGGGGCCTAATGTTGGCGAACCAAACCTACCGACGCCCGCGCAAGTGCTGGATGCGACAGACCTGCTGTGCCGCTTCTTTGGTGCTTACGATGACGGTGAGGACGGACTCGAAATAGCTGTTGTAGCTGAAAAAGCAGGCATCCGCGTGAGAAAGAGTCGGCAAAAGTCTATTATGAACTATTTAACTTCGAGTGAACTGCCAGCTGGTGTGCTGAATTTGGCGGCAATAAAGTGCATTGTTCTTTGTTATTTTGCTATTTTTTTGCCTTCCGACGGCCATTTTTCTCTGCTCGGTGGGCTGCTGCGATATTCATTGGTCTGTACATTCCCTCTTGCTGGCTAATTGTTGGTAGAAATGAATATTGGCTATAACAAACTAATGGTTATAGCAAAGTAATTACGACTTCCCCTTCATCTTTGTTATAACGAGGTCTGACTGTAATTGTAGTCTTGACATGTTAAGGAATATGTTCGAAAAATTTCATTCCAATCTGGCCCTCAAAAGTATCAAAAACGTAATGTACTTAAAAAGTTGCCCGAAATTCCACCTCAAGAAAAATGCATTTTAAACGTAAAAGTGAAAGCTCATCTGTGTGGCAAAGATGAGCTTTTCAAAACGACTTCTTTTGTTGAGGGCTTGGGAACCACAGTTATTTTGAGCATGTGACTTTTGTGAACTCCTCATGCAAAATGCAATGGCAAGAAGCCACGTGACAATGTCCAGGGGACTCTATAAAATGAGTTCATTTTAGCTTCTAATAGCTACCTAGTGCTCTATAAAGGTGATTTTAACTTACTTTGAGTTTGACTACAACTTTAATATTTTGTTCATAACGGTAGAGAAACTAAACTTGTGAAAGCGAGTAAAAACGAAAAGTAAGTGATCAAAAAATAGGTAACTTTAGAAAAATTTTCCTTTTTTCCGAGTACCATTTACCCTTATGTCGGCAAGGCCTGCATGACGATAACTACAATAAATTTTACGTTATTGCAACAATTACACACATACATGTTAGAAAAGCAGCCTCATACAACTTATTGGCACTCATGTATTTATGTGCCACGCTTGGGCACTGCGAACGACCAGCTGTTTGACTTGCTCCTCCAGACAGAGTCTGCACACTACACTCAACCGTAACAATAGAATTTTGTAGATAAGTTTCCAGAAAAAAGAAAAGCAAAAAATAAATGTGCCATCCGGGAAAATGTGCGATTGAAATCAATTAATATTGAGGGTGAGAAGTCTATTTTAATGTGCAAGGGTAGAAAAACATTTATTTCTTAAAAATCACCACCCAAGCACTTCATACAAATGATTAAAGGGACTGCCTACAATCCTTCATTGCTCTCCTGTTTTCTGTCACAATAAAAAGCATACCATGTGAAGTGTCTAACCTTGCAGCGAGCGGTTTGTCTGGAAAGCGCGTGGAAATTCCTAAAAGAAAATTTTTCCGTCTGCGTTATGTCTCCTTAGTTTCCTTCCAGCGGTGGGATGAATGCCTACAACACTGGTCGGTGCCGGTGAAAGTCGAAAACTGAGACCACATGTGGTTTTTGCAGGCTTCATCAAGTTTGGTTATTAATACAGTGAAACCTTATTAAACTGTACCCGCTTAAACAGTAGTTTCGTATTAAAAGTAGTAAAGTCAAATCCCTGACTCGGCGGCCATTGAACATAATGCATTTTGTATCCGCATAAACCTTATAGCTTATCACGTATCTATCATTTAATAAGTAGTTTTTCCCGTTTTCGTTGCACACTCGCCACGGCATGTCGTCCCCCACTGGGCGTCCCGACAGAACAGCAAGCCCCAGAGATCGAAACACGTCTCGCCTGTTTGTATTGATGATAATGGCGGCTGTGTTGATGAGCGCCATCTTTCAGATTTTTCCGCAACAAGAAGCACTCGGCCAGCTAGGCCTCTGGTGTTGTCCATGCAATGGCACTTTGCACAAACACGCAAACGCAGTGTGCGCTTGCTTTGCTTTCTTTATTCTTTTGGTGCTGTGCATACGTGTTCTCTGGTTCTTCCGTGTCGTAGAGCTCTCGCGTCGTTTTTCACGTGTTGTGTTTGTGTGCTCATGCTGCTTCGTACTTGCGTCATGCCGAAGCTGGGACAAAAGCATCGAGTGCTGAAAATAGAGGACCAATTGGACATAATTAGCGCTATTGAAAGTGAAACTAAAAATCGGCGCTGGTACGGAAAAAGGACCTGCCGTTAACTACAATGTGTCGAATTTGGAATTCCAGAGGGAATGACGATAGTTATAGCGCGAGAACAAAACGACGACACAGAAACAAGAAGGACACGAAAAACACGAGCGCTAACTTCCAACTGAGTTTATTGCGCAGAGCACGAAAATATATAGAGGAGACAGTAACCATGTGATAAAAACCATATGGCACAAAGAGCAAAACATGAGTAAGAGAAAAACAAAAACAAACAACACAAAAACAAAAGCACTGAAAAACGGCAAAGAAAAATCTATAAGAAAACGAAACAGAAAGGTAAAGATAATATAACTACCTGCCCGCACCGAAACCCGCCGTTTTTCAGTGCTTTTGTTTTTGTGTTGTTTATTTTTGTTTTTCTCTTACTCATGTTCTGCTCTTTGTGCCATATGGTTTTTATCACATGGTTACTGTCTCCTCTATATATTTTCGTGCTCTGCGCAATAAAACTCAGTTGGAAGTTAGCGCTCGTGTCTTTCGTGTCCTTCTTGTCTCTGTGTCGTCGTTTTGTTCTCGCGCTATAACTATCGTCATGCCATACCAACTAGCCCAAGCTGCCACACCTCTAGAGAGAAGTTGATCGGCAGTGCTGCTGCAACTGCGAAAAGGTGCCCGCTATGCGGTTCGGCGTTTTCGGATGTAGAGGAGGCACTGGTGAAGTGGCTAAAAGCCACACTGTCGAAAAATCTGCCTACCAGCGGACCCCTGCTCATTGAGAAGGCCCCGTTTTTGCCCCGCAGCTCAACTATGACAACTTCGTGTGCAGCAATGGCTGGCTGGCCAGATTTAAGGCGAGGCACGGCACTACCATGAGAACTGTTTCGAGAGAAGGTGCTGCTGCTGATGTGGACGGCGCAGGTCTTGGAAGACTACGCACCTGATGACATATTTAATATGGATGAATCGGCACTATTCTTTAAGCTGCTATCAGACAAAACGCTCGCGTTCAAAGGCGAGACGTGCACCGGAGGCAAGCATGCAAAAGAAAGAATATCAGTGGCGTTTTGCATAAACATGACTGAAACCGACAAAACTCCGCTTCTCATGATTAGAAAGTCGGAGAAGCCTAGATGTTTAAAAGGTGCCCGATTGCCATCAGGGGTCATCCATTGCAGCAACACCAAAGCATGGATGACGGCAAAACTTTTTGAGGAGTACGTGCGCCTCATCGATCGTCGTTTTGCGGCTAAGAACAGAAGAGTTGTTCTTATTTTAGACAATGCTTCGGCGCACGTCGCCCTGGACAACCTGACGGCTGTGAAGTTGGCGTTTCTGCCACCAAACACGACAGCGATTGCCCAGCCCTTGGAACAAGGCATCATTCGAGCTGTAAAACATCTCTACAACAAGAATCTGCTGCGCAGATTTCTTCTTGCCATTGAATGTGGCAAACTATTCTCCATTGACCTGATTGGCACGATTCACCTGCTCGAATACTCGTGGCGGCAGGTTGAAGCAACGACAGTTTGAAATTGTTTCAAGCGTACTGGCTTCAGTGTGTGTGCGGGCGACGCAGATGACGCTAGTGACACTATCGACCAGATTTCGGACATCGTAGACGAAGCTTGCGAAACTCTGCTAGCTGAAGTGCTGCAGCGGCAGGGCGTTACGGAAGGCATTTCCTTTCCCGACTTCAGAGATGCACACAGTGATGTGCAGACATCTCCGGACATGTCCGATGAAGCCACTGATGCCTCGGTTGTCGAAGTGTCGCCAAATGATATTGATGAGGACGACACGGAAAGCGACAACACGGGTGATCCAGGTCCGGCAGTGGCCGAAGCTGTGTATTCCGTCAGTGTCATGCGGGTATTTACCGAGAAGAGGGGGCTGGCGGAAAAGCTGACTCGCAGCATAAGCGAGTTCGAGGCCGCTGTCGTTGCTGCTAGGCCGCCGCGTCGTCAAATAAAGATTGCAGACTTTGTCACGCGAAGTTAATAAATTGCTACACGTTTGTTTTTTCATCGCACTCCCTGAAAGTTTCTTTTTTTTGACAGGTAAGTGGGAGACCTGACGCTATTTCGGTTAAGCAGTACTAACGTTCAGTACGTACTTTTACTGAGCTCCGGCCAACTACGGTTTAACGAGGTTTCACTGTAAAACAAATTTCTTAGTGGTCGTTTTGGGCACACACACTTTTTGTTGTTCTCATGAGTGGCTGCGGATGCCATGGTAGCGTTTTTCCGCTGTTCGCAGGCAGGCATGCAGGCAAGCGAACACACTTCTGGCAGCGCCACCAGGTGCCTATTTGAGCACGTGAGAAAAAAAGCAAAAATTTGTCTCTTGCACAACGTTGAGAGCATAAAATACAATTTCAAGTTAAGCGTGTTTGTTTTTAAGCAAAATAAATTTACCTGTGAGGATTTCTGGTCCTACCAATCAATTGGCAAGATTGACCACATTCGTTGTTGGGTGATGCTAGTGGTCACTTTTTATCGACTTTCAAAATCAAGTAAAAATTAAAATTACTTGTTTCTGGCCCGAAAGCATGCTCGTTGCCGCCGATGTGATGAACGATCCTCTCATTTTCGCCACAATCAAAAAAAATTTTTCCGAGCGGTAAACAGTCCCTTTAACCATCGAAAGCTGAAACCTGCGGCCCCGATGTTTACCAGTCGGTTCCACCCGACGCTGCACAGAAGCCTTTCACAATTATTGGTTACACATTCGTGCTTCTTGATGAGGTTAAACACACGTTTGGCTTAGGCTTACCACAGTGTTTATTTCACATGCTGCACATTGTGCCTCGCATGATCACAGTCATGGAGGAGTGTAAACACCCTTCAGCAATAATTACATTGACACTGTTGTGCCCACAATGCCACTTGTTCGGCGCAGCATTGCTGCAAGCGTTTGACATCCCGAGCTTACTCGGCGGCGTGGTTTGCAGTATCCGCCCGCCACCGGCACTTGCATTTCCATTCATGATTCAGCGCGGCCTTGAAGGCTTCCGGATCATTGGTACGCAGTTGCTGCGGACACTCGGCCTCCGGGGCTTGTTTTTGCGCCTGAACAGCACCACTGGCCCAGCGAATGCAAGGTTTCTCACGTTTCTATTGTCAGTGGCTTACCTATGTGAAAGTTCTTGATGCGCGCAAGAAGCAAGATAAGTTTACAGACTATTTTTATGCGAAATAAAGTGCTGTAACTTGCAGTTTACACCTTGTCCTTCATTATACTGTGAGCAAATCCTTATGTTAGCACTTGCCACAATTTCCAAGACCTGAAATGCTCTAATTTAGGCCTTAGCTACGCATATTTTGTGATTCAAATTATCGATATATTCAACTCGCGATCTCCTTCAAGTTCGATGTATCCTGGATTGACTGTATCAACATACCGTGTTGTGCATGAAATTGCTGTGCTCAGCGAAATCGCAGAACGAAACACCCCTGTGCTACACAAGACATAATTTTTATTTTTCTTCGCTGCAATATTTTGACGGCCAGCATGGCCACCTACCTACCTGTGGGTTGATGTGTGGTTGACAGAAAGCTGACACATTGGTTGAAGGGCAATCGCGCAATTTGAAGAAGGCGCAGAGGGCGCAAATTAGGCACGGCAGAGAAGCCACTGTCGTGCGGCCGCACTCGACAAATACATGAAAGGGGTCTTTCTGCACACCTCAATGAGGATTTCTTGCTGCAGAATGTATCATACGACTGCAGTTTGCTGCAATGCTTTCTGGGAGCAGCCTGAGCACAAACTTACACATGGAGTCAAATACTGTCAAAACATCATAAGCAAAAATTTTGTGGACCTACCACTGTTGTACTTCAGGAACACTGCAATGGCAAGCGGCGACACCCTGTTCTCGACGGTTTGCGTGAATTGCGGGTCGACCTGCAATGAAAATACGGGCCCAAGTTATCAAGTCGTATGTGCTTACAAAATAAACACAGCCACGAATGCACATGCCATTAGTAACTTACAATACGCAGCCAGCTTTACTAGGCAACACCAAATTAGTTTAGCCAGGCCAACAAAGTGCTTTTTGCAGAAATTATGGACCATTTTAACGGAGCGATGGATCCCCTCCTTTCTGGGCTGTTGCACGGGAGTACTAAAAGCTGATAACACAGTTCCAGCCCTGCATTTTTGGGGGGTTACGCATGTCAACAACAGTACGGAGAGCCTTCGTTGACAAGGTGTATACTTTCCTCGATTCGGTCATAAGTATTGACCATTACTACAGAAAATAAAGGTAATTGCATTCTTATATTTCATGCCTAAGCCACACGAATGGTATGCTAGTATGACATAGATTTTAATGTGTGCTCATGTGCATGGTCGACATCCTTCAATTCAACATTGACAAGAACACTGAGTTATCCACAAAAGAGGTTGGTGGGGAAGTGGCAAATTATAAAAATCAGAGACGCATTGCCTGAACATGCTTTTATGTCATTATTTCTTACTTTACAGTACATTCCATTGTTTTCAATATGGCTATACAGTCGAGCCCATCTACAACAAACTCATGAGTAGTTCATTATACAGTTGAACCTAGATATCACAAAGCTGACGAATTCCCAGAACAATTCGTTATAAAGAAGATTTCGTTAAATTCAGTTTCGGTACAATAATGTGAAAGTGCACAAATTAAACAAGAGTGGAACTGAAGGTAGAGCTAACCGAAAACACTGATTTAGCTGTAAAAAACTGCGTTATTACTGCGAAAGCAATTATGTGGACACACACAGTGGGTTTTAGCCGTCGCTGTCATGTTTCATAACAAGTCTAGATTGAGAACATGCCCCCACGCACTGTAACTTTTTCGAGCGGGTAAAAGGGCACGAGCGCTGCTGAAGCAGATATACAGTCGCCGACCGATTTTCCGGACTCCAAAAATTCGGACTTGTTGGATATTCCGGACTTTATAAATGCACCGTCAGGGATCCCATAGAGCTAATGCATTGTTTCGACCGATTTTTCGGGCGAATTTGCCCCTGAAAGTTCGATGTTTCGGACTAAATCGCTCGTTTTGTGCCACGCCCCAAGCCATTGTGAACGCCGCCATGTTGGATTTTCTGTCGGCTTGGCTAAGCTTGATCTTCTGATGCTTTTCCTGCCTCCGAGATTGGAATGCGCACGCCATATTTTAAGTTTCGGAGGCCGTGTTTGCTTTTTAAAAGACGCGGTGATGGATGCCGTTTTTTCGTCTTCGGTCAGCACTATCGTCATCACATCGCACGGGGAGGAGGCGAAAGAAGGATTCTCTACCTGCCACAATGACATTTAAAGACTTCACTCGTGCGAAGACGACATTGTTTCGTGCGCGGAGGCCACTGACGACGAAATTCTTCGCCAGGTTGTCCCGGAGCCGGAGAGCGGCTCGGATGACGACAACGACCGCCCGCAGCCGTCGGCGGTGGAGATCGCCAACGCGGTGACAATTTTGTCGAGCGTTTACGGCGACGATGTCACCTTGGCGCAAATACGGGCAAACCAAATTGCCTCCAAGCGTAGTTTGAGGCAAGGCAGCATCAAGGACTTTTTTAAACCTGCCTGATGCAATAAACTTCAGATTTTTGGCGAAAACGAATTTTTCGGACTGTTCGATTTTTCGTACTTTTTTTCGGTCCCCGCCAGGTCCGAAAAATCGGTCGGCGACTGTAAAATGAGCCAGCCCATCTCTATCGCCTGGAGGGCGCATACGGTACATCGCAACCTGTTTTAGAACTGAGAACTGCCGTTGAATGCTCAAACAGAAAGCGAACCACCCATCTTGGATGAGCATGGAACAATGCGAGGAGAGGAAGGGGGGGTCGTCGTTTGAGTAGCAGAGGTGAACTTCGATTTTAAGGACGCGGTCCCGAGTGACCCATTTGTGGTGCGAGTGATCTGTTTGTTCAACACAACGAAGCCATGCATTTTGTAAATGCACAAGCGGCCTTGCAAGACGCGAAAGAGAAAACTTGCAAACGGCAGCAGGATGCCCTTGTACCGCTTTCACTCAGCGTGACTTGAACACATAGAGTCAAGCAGATATCTGCAGATGACTGTGCTAAGGTTGCTGCCAATGAGTCAAAATGAAACGTTCATTGCTACAGGCCACCTTGACCTCACTCTTTTTTGATGCTTATCTGTTAAGGCACCGTGCAACCATGCAGAAGTCATGATCTTTGACCGGCCTGTCTCTTCCATCACCGAAAGGCAGAAAATCCTTTGCGGCACATTGTGGCATCAGTGAGTTGGGCGTCGCGGTGAACTTTTATGCAACAAGAAGGTATTGCTTCTTCCACTTGAAAGCCTCGTTTGGTTAATCATCGGCGGTAGCAGATGCAGAGAATGGCATCAGAAAAGTATGCCGTGCGAAAGCTGATCGCGAGTCTTTATGCTGTCTCCCCCCTCCCCACTGCCATTGAATAAATGCTTGGAAGGTAAGTGAGCTCCCTCGCAGCGTGCAAAACGTATGTGCGGCAGTGCAAGATACCTTCATTACAAGTCAACTGCAGCAGAACATGCACGAATGTGCGTCTTGCATACATTAGCATGTCTGTCATAATGTTGTTTTTTTTTCGCTTCGTATGCACCACGTTTTTATCACGATCACGTCGGAAGTGTTTGTTGTAAAAGTAGAAAGCTCCGAAAAATGACGCTATATATGTGAACACAGTTTCGATGGGTAGCATAGCCAAATCGTAAGTGCATCAAAATATGGTTGTTATAACCCATAGATCGTTATACCTGGGATCATTATAAGTAGGTAGGTTCATCTGCAGTGGTCCCAAAAAAAGAGCAAACTTTAAAAAACATACAATCAAACTATAAATAAAATTTGTTTGCTATGTATGTTGTGTGCTCCAAACCCCAAGCTTCATGCTGTAAAAAGAATTTTTGTTCTATCTGTGATAGCCACTGACATATTGCAGTAAATGTCTTTCTCTGTGTGCAAAATTAGTGTTTTGAGAAAATCAAGAAAACAAACAATTACAACTTTTTATTGTGGATAAGCATAGATGTGTGTTCACATAAACACTGCAAAGCCTTGGTTGCCTACAATCAGTATACCCTCAAGGCGGTGAGATGCACATATGGCATCATTGAATATGTTGTTCTAGCGTCAACACCGACGAGAAAATCAGGTGTCCGACATGTTTTGATGCTACAGCTGAAATATTAACCTCAGACACATGAAACTTGCTGTACAAGGAGAGTAATACACTAAATGCAAATGCCAGAAATGCTGTTTTCAAAAATTAATTTTTTTTTTTTCAAGAAGCCTTCGGTCGCGAGGCCAGTGTCTCCCCTTAGTGGTCATATCGATGAGCTCTATACAGAAAGTGGGTACTCACTGTAATCACAACGGACAAAGCCTCAATGGCCAAGGCTAGAACGTCAGAAGAGAATTGCGTTGACAGCGATATGAGCCCGTCGGTGAAGGGAGCCAGAAACGGCGCGAGCTGGCTCGACTGGTTGTGGTTGTTGAGGTGCCCGCAGAACCTGGGACAGAGGAGACACAAACAAGGCTGAACATCAGACTCGTGAATGTTTTTTTTTGTTTTTTCTCAACGGGGCCCTGCAACACCTTTACGAGAAGCCATGGAATAAATTTAGTACAGAAGCTTACTGCCTCGTGAACTGGCCACCGCAAAAAATTTACAGAATCTGCCCAGTACGAGTGAAGTAACAAATATTTGTCACACGCCGCAATTGCTTTCGCTCTCCTCTCGTCCTGACTAAAGCACTGTAAGCTAAGCAAAAAGGGACGGCGCGGGGGGGAAGAAGGTACATCACGTGCTTTTGACCTTAGCACTTCCTCTCTGTCTCTCTTTTTATACATGCGGACAGGTCGCAGCCTTTCACGGTGACCCCAGTGACTCCCGAGCGTGCCATACTTAATTAAATCAGCCACTGTCTCAATACTTGGGCTTGTGACGCAATGACTGCTCAGTATATAGCATGATTTTACAAGAGAAGAGAAAAGAGATTTTCAGCTAACTTTGACAATTAATTCAGTGTGAATTCCATGCCGCGTGCTGCATATATTTGGCTTATGGTTTATGCTGGTTTTGCTGCAATATTTGGCTTATGCATTCTCAGGAGCCTCGACTACCGATCAGCAGCGTTTTCTGACCATGCTCATAAAGGGTTAATTTAAGAGAGGAAAAAAAAAGGGGGCATTAGAGCTGTGCATGAATTGTTTCGTACTTCTCTGCGACGCCACCACGATGTTTGTGTGTACTTTTTCGGAATTTGTACCACAGGTACTGCCGGATATATAGAATTCAGATACTATATCGAATTGTGGCTACAGCCGAACCCCTTTATAAGAGACACTGATATAAGAGACAAATAGGAATAAGAGGCACTGGTTGCCTCACAGTAAAATACAGGTAGACAAGAAAATGCATACAAGGTGCCCTGCTTATAAAAGACATCTCGTATAAAAGACAAGAACTGCTGCCCGGAGCATGCCCCTTATAAAGGGGGTTAACTGTATATCGAACAGTTCAGAAATTCCCATGAACTTATCATGCAAAAGTATGGGGCTGGTGCACTTACATATCAAACTGACACGCAGCAGAATATTCGGTACATCGAACAATGCTCTGTGACGAAGCCCAATCCCTCTTTGCGTACAGGCAGCGTTATTTCATAGGATTACTGTGATCGGTCGTGCGGTGCTTGTGAATGTGCAAGCTTGTTTGATGCGCGAATTGCAAGTCGCTACGTTCAAAGAGGCAGATTGCCGAGGGCACCAAAATGCAATGAATGCAAAGCGAGTCGGCTACCTTGTCGCACTGTTCACATTTTACTTGTTGTTCAAGCAAAGTGGCGCTACAGCATCAAAAGCATGGCATTCAAGATTTGCATACCCGCGACATATTTTAAGCATTTTCGGTTATCAAACACAAATCTCAGATGGTATCCCCCCCCCCCCCTTTTTTGCCCACAAGACTGCTAACCGAGACGTGGTGTGCATCTGCTTGTCTCCAGCTTCAAATTTTGTGTGCTTGGTGCCATGGCGGCACCAGCAAGAGTCAGCAGCAGTAATTACCAAAGCACTGACAACATTACTGTAGCCCTAATACAAGCTTCCCCAAGCATAGCATGAAGCAGGACATTATTAAAGATTTTTTTTAGGCTGCTCTAATTCAAGTAAACTTCATTTTCATGGCTTAATTATTTTGGGCTGTTCGAATGGAGTGCTACTCATGATTTGCCGGTTTACACATCCCTCAAGCGTAACCTTTTGCAGTCTGAAATTTTTTTCCCTCACCTTCCAACTGTTCAGGTCCAAAACTAAACTAAAAGATCAAGTAAAGAAAGTTTACCAACAGTTACAGACGCCATGTGATATAGCAGGATAACGCGTGTGCGAATCTAGAGCAAAATAACTTCTCAAGCAGTGCCAGACCAAGGCCTGCTGCGCCCACGTTGCATTGTTGGGCAGGAGTCGACAACGGAGCGCAAAGAGTCAAACGTACGGGCCTGGAAGCTTCGCACAAAGAAACATTCATGCTTAGTAGTACTGCAAGTGTGAACACAATTTTAGTAGCCACTGCAATGTCACATGAATGAGAACTTGCGAGAGACAAGATTGCCTCTTCCTGTTTCTCAGGCCAATCTTGAGTATTGTTTTTATCAGGTCTGTGTCCGCTGTCACAAACTGAAAAGTGGCAAGCGATGGTTTGGATGCCTCCTACAGGGGAGACATGCATTCAACAAGGACACAGCTAAGCGCATGCTACCGCTGCACTACAGTCTAGATTAGTCATCAATGTACCACGAGTAGCTTGCCCAAAGTAATTGTGCTCAAATCAACAATTCACGGCTAAAGGCAATTTTCACACGCACAAATGCAGACATGTAAAGTAGAAAAACTGCCTACCCCCACATCGCTCGAACCGCGGACACTCGTAACGTGGCCGACTGCGTCTGCTGCAGGCACTCAACAGTCATTTGGAGGAACCTGGATACAAGCAAGCGATAAAATGAAAGATTGCAGGTGATGACTTCTCTCGCACATGCCAAACATATAAGAGCAAATTTAAAAATTAAAAAATGAACATGAAGTTCCATACCTCTGTGTCATTTCCGGTGTCTGGAAAGCGACATATTTGCTTGCCACCCACAGACAGCGACCAATCAAGAATGGAGAATCTGCAAAATGTGTAAGATGGACGCAATACTTCACAAGATATCTTTGGAAAAATTTCATTTAGACATTCAAGAAAAGGAATTTTGCTAGCCAACATAACATTTACCAAAAGTTAAAGCAACATTTCTACGAATACCACAGAGGTGTTCTTAAATGAGAAAACTGAGTGATGTATGTTGAAGCCAGCTCATTCGCACATTTAAGAAAAGAAAAATGAGAGGGAGGAGGTAGGAGGCAAAGAATTAAAAAGCTTTATACATACTAAAACATCTTAAAACATTATAGCACAAAAAACAAATAAATTCTAGCTGTGAGTGCCACAAAGCCATTTCTTACCAGTTGTGTTTAGATCTGGCAGTGCCACCGACTCAAGAAAGCCTCTAATGTCAAATATTTGGTGACCTGGGGCGCCCTGAACAAATGCATCTTGGCAGTTCCCAAGGGCAAGCATGCACGACTCGTGAATTTTCCACCTGGTTGCAAAGAAAATCCCCATCACTGTTACATATGCACAGCTTGCACTAGACTATTCAGCATGAACGTTCAGCACATCTGTTTGCCTCTGCAACACTGCACTAGATATACAAACCAATGGTACCAAAGTATGATCCAATATCTGACAGCTGGAATATTTCAGTACTCTAATGCCTGTACCAAGCTACAGATGCTGCAGTGGCCTCTTTACTTTGCTTGAAGTACACATACAGTACCTCCTTTCAGCATCGTCGGTTCCAAGGACGCTATCATGCCATTATTACAAAACTAGTGGCCTCACATTCGGTAATGGAAAATAATGTCCTTATATTTAACTGCCATGCTTTCAGTAACTTCTTCATCTTGACTGGTATTTACTTTCTTGTTCTCAATCATACCAACCTGCTGACTGGGGCAGATCAGAGGCAGGAAGGACGTATTATTTGACCATGCTGAACACTGCTGTCAGTGCCGAAGAGGTCGAACGTGAAGAGATGTTAAAGGGACACTAAAGCGAGTCAACAAGTCTGTTTAGATTGATAAACTGTGCTCCAAGAACACTAATACCATTAATTTTTCAATCATCATCATCATCAGCCTAACTACGCCCTCTGCAGGTCCTCCCATGTTCCGCCAATCAACTCGGTCCTGTGCTTTCTGCTGCCACGTTATATACCTGCAAACTTCTTATATTCATCTGCTCGCCTTATTTTCTGTCTCCCTCTCACACGTTTGCAGTCTCCTGAAATCCAATCAGTTATTCTTAATCACCAGCGGTTATCACGCCTCTGCGCTACGTGCCCGGCCCATGTCCGCTTCATCTTGATTTCAGCTATGATATCCTTAACCCCAGTTTATTCCCTGGGTTATTCCCAGTTTATTCTGCTGTCTTCATATCTCTCAAAGTTACGCCTATCGTCTTCCTTTCTATTGGCCACTGCCCTGTCCCCAATACGAGTTTAAATTGAGCACTAGCTATATTCGTTCTTAAATATCGTGCCGAAATCCTCACGCATGACATCATGAATTTCCAAGTATTTTTCATATTTTGGCAACACTGGCTCAACGAAACTACCTGAAATATGGCATGTTGAGTTTACTACCCCCGCAGAAGACAACGCACTCCAATTATATATATTAGGAACAGCGTAGGACCTAGTAGATGGCGTCAAAATCTATGACGTAGCAGCATTCGATGCAGGAATTTCAAGGAGACCCTGGAGACCACATTTTTTCCTTGCACGTTTTCTCGCTTAGCAAGCATCTTTTCGAGGCAAATGCGGCAGTTTTGAGATTGTGAAAGAATGACTAATATGGGAAAAAAAACGCTTTTCTTTTTAAGGCTAAAAGAAGTCCCTTCAAGGCTTAAGAAACCTTGTCATCAACATTCTACAGTAAAGCGACTCAACAACGCACCAGTTGCGGTCTCCACTGGCTCGCGCAGCATTGCTTTCTTGAAGATGCTTAGCAACTGCCTCACTCAGGCCCCGAGAACTCTCATCTTCATATTCCAGAAATAAAACCTGCATTGTAGATGTAACACAGGTCACCTTTGAGGTCACTGTGCACTTGCACACAAGTGAAAATGTGTGCGCACAGAAGTTTTCTCACAATATGCACAAAATCAAAGGCCCGTTTAAATGATTACGACCACTTACCGTAAGCAAGTCTTGAGCTGATATTCGAACAGAGTACGAGAATGTGTCGTCATCCTCGTCTTCGACAAATCGGTCCGGACTGCTCGTCCAGGTGCGAACCTATACAGACAAAAAAGGGACATGAAAGAATGTGTGACGCAGTTATGAAAAAAATGGGGCACCAAACTAGGCTAGCAATAATCAGGCAATTAAGTAAAGCACTTTTTCAAGCTAAACAAGTGGCATCAAACAAGCGTTTCACAGCTGTACAGGAGCAGCAGTCTCTCAAAAACATTTTAGGAAATGACTCTGGAATGCTATAGGAACCTTATACATGGAATCCCAAGACGATGTTTCCACTAAAACTGCTGCAGAGCTTTTTGGCTTGCAATTACAGTTGCAGCCATGAAGACAAGGAAGCTTGTCGAAACATTGGCTTCAAAGACACTCCATGTTCAAGACCTTTTAGCCTCTTCAAGCTTTGGTTTTACTCTGTACTTCTCCTTCATCTTGTAAAAAGTAAGCTATTTGACAGCCATCTGGCAACGAAACCTGCGCCAGCAGCATTCATCTTTAGCGTCCCTTACAGCTTGATGAAATTAAAATGCTGAACTGCAATAAACACTATTGCCTATAAAGAACAAACTGATGACAGCAAACTTTAAGTAAATTACAGAGATTAGAGGTGCCAGCCTCAACTGCCTACCTGTTCTTCTGTGATTTGCATGTAGAACACTATGTAGTAGATCAGGTCGGACAGCCCCTTCTTGACAAGGCCATGAAACCTCGGTGTTTCGACAAGCGCATTCACAAAATCAAATATCATGAAGACTACGTTTTCAAAGCCAAGGACTTCGCCTGAAAATGAAAATATATGAAGACCTCTTTGTAGTACCTTGCCGCATTGATAACTGTCAAGACATGTTGCTTTGAAGAATGCCTGGGAAAAAAAAAAACATCTGGACAAGCATGTTAAATGTTCCAGGGTCACTCTGGGGTCACTGAATACTGTTACGCAGAACGACCGTGGCCTTGGCTAAACTATGAGAATAAACAAATTACGTGAGAGTGAAACAGTGAAAGCAATACAATGCAATAGGCATCCTGCATATTAATAAATGTTTAAAACTCGTTACTAATTAGGGCACCATCTGGCCAGACTCGCACACTCATGCAAAGCTGAAATACACTACCGTGAAGTGCCAAGTCCCCCTTCCCCCGCCTTAGGTGGAGGATAATCCAACCAGATTTGGGATGGGGGACGTTTGCTCGATTCGAAACCGGTCATTGACGCTTTTTTGAATCTCCCAGAAAAGGGATTGGAGCGCTCGCTCGGCATTTTACGGTATGTGTTATCAAAAACAAAACATAACCATTTTGTATCAATTGAACTATTGTGTACTAATGAAATATAAAATAAATGCTGTACCAGAACATGGCTTTAACAAAGAGCCGATAAAGCACTAACCGTCGGAGTCTACAGGATCATTAGCTTCTTCCGAATCGTTGACGGCTGTCCTCACGTATCTTGATGCAAATTGTCAAGGGAAGCAGCTACAGTCCAGATTCCATCGAGAAGTAGTACCCATCAATACATAGATTTTTGCAGCGTACGACCTGTTTAAAAGCAATTACCACTCCGCGCTTAATTCGTTTTTGAAACAAAAAAACAAAAAAAAACAAATGAGGGCAAGCAAATGAAAAGGATACATGTGTGCACTTTCTGTGAGCGAATTCCATACGGGCGTCAAGATGTGTGGAAGCCAGGTCGACATCTGCTTGGGTTCGTACTTTACTAAAACTGTCAATGCCTGCGAGAATATAAACACAAAAGAAAACTTTGAATTATCGCTACATATTTCTTTTCCGACGTACATAACTCGTTGCACTCGAAGAACAGCCTAAAAATACGACAAACTTTATAATTTAGCATGCCCATTTTTCTGTTACTAAAGAGAGCTCGCAAAGGAAGCCACGGACATTCTTTATCCGGCACGACCCAATATGAAAGAAGTTCTTGGACAGTTGTGCGACAAGCCACACAGCTCTGAAGAATCCGCACAAGGCAATCCGAATGCAATATGCATTACTAGTCTAGAATTACACATTCAAAAACATGCACCTGCTCTTCACGGTTGCTAATGCCTCTTATTATGATAGATTGCTCTTCTGAATTTTTCAGGAGTCGGAGGAAGCTGCAAGCAGAGTAAAGTCACTAACCTTTAATATCTCTTTTTTGATGCCACAGTCCGACGTGGGGCCATCAGGTATCTTCAATGCCTCGACGAAAGCCTCAGTGAATTGGGGCAAAATCGGGTAAAGAAGCGTCTTGGTCGTGCTCTAATATGGCAAGCAGAACAAATAAAGCTGAAATGGACTGACACGCCAAACACAACACAGTCAAAAGAAGCGAGAAAGTTCCGGTACCTTGTCCGTATGACCCATGGTAGCAATGATTTGGGCGCACGTAGAAAAAATTTCCACAGCTCGTCCACGAGTCCGTATGCCGTATTTCTGTGCAAAATAGAACGCGAGACATTCGTAAAAGGATGCAGAGAGAAACGAGCAGTGTTTTGCATCGCAGTGCGTGCGGCTACACTTTTCTGTACCTGAGGCTGAGTGAAGATCTTGTACATCTCTGGAAGCACTACAGGAGCCACTTGGAACATCTGGTTATCTGTAATGTCTCGAGAAAACTCTGCGAGGCAACGACGCGAGATTAATGAACAAGGTGTTACAAAAAGAATGTAAGCGCTACCAAGCACCTCTGAAAGACTAATGTAATGACTATGTAAGCAATATTTCTGTGTATTGAAAGTGTAAAACCACTTGTATCACTGGCAGTGTACCAGTGGAACAAGTGGTGCTTATCATGACGATAACTTCTGTAGAAATATACTATAAGAAAACATTATTAAGTAATTTTCTTTTTTTAACTTTCTCTTTTATTCCACATTCAAGAACATACCGTATTTACGAGCATAATTTGCACCCTCACATATTTGCGCACCCCTAATATTTTGCCAGATTTTCAAAAAAATGTATATGTGTATTTACTCGCATATTTCGCGCTCCCCGACCCACCTGAGCCAGCTTGCAGGTGCACGCACCTTTGGACCTTTCGATGCTTCGGCGGGGTGTGCGCCTCGTCGGGCAGACGAGTGCAGTCAAACAGGCTGCCAGCGCAAAGTCCCTGCTTCTGAGGACTTCCCCGAGCTAGCGTCCCTAGAATACCGCACCCGAACACGAACCCGTTGACGGGTTGCTGAAACTGCTCGAGCGTTTGCCTCCCCCTTACTCCCAATCTCTACTACCTCGATAATGGCGAGAATGCACGCTCACGTCGCAGCACGGACGACTTTCTGCATCGAAGGCGTGCGAGGGCCTATCGCGCCAACTGTTCCCCTCGTTCTCTGCGTCCACACTGCAATGCACGCTTGGTCAATTTCGGAAGTTTTGTTTCGCCATGTGGCTGAAGCGTTTTGATGCTTCCCTTGCGATGTGCTGCAGTAATTATATATACGGCAAAATCGAAGCTCGCTGTTGTGAATTTCATTGAGGAAAACGGAAAGCATGCCACTGCAAAGAACTTCAAGGGGATATACTTCAACTTGACGACCGGCGTGATCGGTACGCTAAAAAGCAGAAATGTGCACGCTTCTAATGCCAGTTTTTTGCCATTGAATGAGGCCCTTTCAATTATGTGCGGATGCTTAGTTCTTCCAGTAATTTCTAGTCGTGAGGCCTAGTTTCTTGCAGCATTGTCAAAAGAGCTTCAAAAAAATACAATTATTCCCAATCAGACTTCGCGATCATTGATTCCCGCTAGACCGCGCGTGACAGGATCTGACTGGGTAAAGTACGTGCTAATTCTTTCAAAATTAACAAGTACACTTCGTTTGTACTCCAATTAATTTTTCTTTTTTTATAAATGTATATACTGCACGCGTTAGGATTACGGCACAATATTTCGTATGCAATGGCGAAATCACCGCGTAATTTGCGCACCCCGTTCTTGGGGTCCCAAAATAGGGAAAAAAAAGTGTGCAAATTATGCGAGTAAATAGGGTAATCTGCCGTATTTTGCTCTGTTGCAGGCTCTTTCTTGCCGTTTATGGCAAGACAATTGAAATAACATTCCTGTTTTTACGACAAGAATTGCATTTGATATCTACAATCAGCAGAAAAAAAAAAAAACATTTTGTAAAAACTTGAAGTGCCCAGAGCCAATAATAGAACAGTTGCTCTCGTATCACATATCCCCACTTGATACCAAACATGGCAGTGGTGCACAGATGTAAAAGCATGTGCATCCATGTTCAGTCACATATGAGCCCACTCTTCCCTGGCAAAAATTCACAATGCCCACTATAGCATCTATGTGTAGGCATGTCACGGCTTCAAGCAGAGTGAAGAATATCTCTATAACCCTTTGCAACATGGCGTCTTCATTTTGGGGCGCAAATGAATTTGTCATTTTTATACACAACTAGCAAGGAAGGGACAATGAACAGTAAGCTAATAATAAATAAAGCATTTTTGTTGCCTACAGTTAATTTACATAACTTCGGGTTTAAATATTTTCCTACACAGACTTGCTTTGGTGAAGACTGTGCCGGGTTTAACGAGATGTCAAATTGGGGCGTTCCGGCAGGCATTTTATTATACAGTAAAATCTCATTAATTCAAACTTGGTTATTTCAAAAGTCCACTTAATTCACAGCATTTCTGCCTACCCGTTAATATGCAATGTAAAATTGAGTTTATAAATTGAAGCAGCGGTCAGCACCAGTCTGGTTGATTCGAAAACGCTGAGACCAGTGTGCCGATTCCCGATGTCACCTTCAATCCGCCAAAACACACCCCTTAAGATTCACTAGGCAATGTACTATAGTGATACTAATGAGTAAAGGATGAAGCATCGCAGCCTCACAACTTTCACCACAAAAAATTAAATTATAAAAAATAACAGTCTCGTGATCAGCTGAAACGTATGCTTGAAGAAAACAAGACGTGCTTCACTGCAGCACAAGGGTGATGCATGAACAGCACGTTGCATGCTTCTCGCAACGTAAGCGCATCATCGTCGAATATAATGAAATTAATAAAGGACAGTCTGGCAGAATTCATGAAGTATGCGAACCTCAGCATGCCGGTTGCTCCAGAGATTTGCGTACTTGCGCTGATGGCAGAGTTCTTGCCTGCAACGCCTACTTCAGAAACTCAGTCTGAAAGCTTGATTGATTGATTGTCAGTGTAATTGACAGTGTAATTGATTGACAGTGTAATTTATTTTAACACTTACTCTTGCTTAAAATTTCGTCTACCGAACGTTGGCATACAATGTCCGTAAAATGCCGACGAAACACTCCGACATCAATGTTTCTGCTCAAATGCTTTATTTATTTACATGACAACGGAATTTAATTAAGAACATTAGGTAAGCATTCAATGTACTCATCGTTGTTTTTTTTTTCACACAAGCGATGCTAGTTTTGAAAAAAAAAAGTGGCCAGATGGGAGAATGGGAAGAGGGGGGGGGGGGGGGCACTCGCTCAGTCAATGGCAATTACGGTATCTTACGTATCTCCCGAAAAAGGGACAGAGGTGCGTGCTCGGAATTTTACAGCATGTGAATTTCGCTCATTGATAGAACGCTCATCGTAATGCATATTTACAAAAAGAAAGAGGAGTCTCGTTCTTTTTCACCCTAAGCACTACACCCGGGGTTTGCGAGTACCGTATTTACCCAATTCCAACGTGCACCTTTTTCTTTTTTTTTAAATAGACCTTAAAATCGCACGGGTGTTAGATCTGGGTACGGTCTGGTTGAACGTTGTTCTACTACTATTTTAGACTATTTGTCTAGAACTAATTGTACTACTACTACTACTATTACTACTACTATTACTACTACTATTACTACTACTACTACAATTAGTAGAACGTTGTTCTACTACAATAGTACTAGACAAAACCAGACAAATCAAAGAGCAGTTATTCCAAATATCGAATGTTTTTAAAATTATCAGCATTGACAGAAAAACCCTAAAGGAATAACAAATTAAAAAAACAAAAGAGCATTTGCTTTTATTATTGGATTACCAACATATATGCAATGCCAGTCTTCGACGGGACTATAGATGTAGTATGAATCACAGATGCATGGACTTATATTCAGAACTCTAGAGTCACCAAAGTGAAAGTGTTCTCATACCACTATGGTCGTGAGATTCATGGCGGTCAATTATCGGAGATTGCTTAATTTTCATGTCTTAGCTCTATTTAAAAAGTGGTGACAAAGTGCTGCCTTGAATTTTCAAGTGAGTGCTGCATCTCAACTAAGTTACAAATATCTCATAGCTTGGCCCCTTGTCACGCAAGCTTACCTCAGTTTACATAAATGTGTCATTTTTCATCGGTTAAAGTTAACTGTAGTGTCTCTTTGCTAATGTTCCCAACTATTTGTTCCAAATAAAATACTGCTGAATTCTACAACTGTTTTGAAAAAGGTTGTCTTACTATTTTAAAAACTACTCGAATAGTATTCGATTTGTTGTCATCTTTATTCGTTTCAATTCTAAAATGTACTAACCGTAGACCCCCCATATTACAGAAAAATAATTCTTTGGACATGCCCACATGCCAATATCTTAAAGAACAGAAACTTACCTGTGAGAACTCTCATTGCGCCATGGACGGTGTTCGAGTCGCCGCTCATCAGCGCCTGCATGAGTATCTCGAAAAGCTGCGGCCATGCCTCGGGCCAGTCCCAATGAGCAATGGCCGAGATAGCATAGGCCACACTTGAGCGCAGCTTGCTCAGCGACTCCTTCAGCCCCAGGGGGAGGAGATTCCGAATGGTCGCCTTGGCCTGACACACAAAAGTTTGAATAATGGTGATGTGGAGAATGGCAGCGGATTCGGCACGTTCATAATTCATAACATCCTGACAAATAGCCCTCTTAAAACCTAAAGCAAACCAGGTGGATGGCATAAGTGTGCCAGCCTTTTGTATACACATAGAAAAAGTTGAAAGAGAAACCTCGCAGCCAAACACTGTGAAAGCTTCTTTAAGTGGCCTTTTTTTAGCATACACCAAAACATTTGGAAGAACAGGCACTGTCAATGTAAAGAAAAATGTCAACTTCCTCTAAACGCACCGTTCTTATCCAGAACTTACTTTGCCATTGTCACTTGGTATTGTAGCAGCACCGGAAGCCTTAATCCCCAGTAGGGTAGTTAAAATAAATGTTTGTGCTGGTTTCTCAGAACTAATCAGTGTATAACTTTTCTGAGAAGGACCAGAACCTTTTGTTGTTCAAGGCTCAGATTTTGCATACTCCCTAAATCTGCACACTTTTTTCAAGAGGGAGCAACAACAGTCCTTCAACAGACACCTAAGAAAAAAGCCCCCCACCCCTTCCTTGCGAAATGATTAGCCGCTGCTTTCCAAAACATAGCCTGCTTCTTGTAGCCTAATAAAATATATGTATAGTACTCATTTTGATAATAATGCCCTTAATCCCCAATGAATAAATCTCAGAACCAACAAATATGATTACATTAATATGAATATGATTTCACTATGAAGACATCAATATGAACACGAGCATCAACCTTTCCAAAATTACTCAATTGTTTAAAATGCATGTTTACGGCAATATTTGTGTATTGTGTATAATTCGCATGTTTTTGTTCTTTTTGTACAGCAATATGTCTTTTGTACAACAACCTCTAGCTATTTGTTTTGTGATCCATGTGTCTCCCCCCCCCCCCCCCCTCGTGGTGTATAAATTAAAATAAACTGCTGTATTGAAAAGTAGGAAGTGGGGGGTCCTGCTACATGTGACAATGACAAAATGCAAGGTCAGATACGTCTTGAAAGCAATGAAAGATCATTACACGAACAAGACTTTTTTTAATCTTGGGATATTAGAGTTGTTTACCTTGGGAAGAAAAAGCATGCTTAATGAGGAGTAACACAAAACACAACTTTAACCTTGAACAATAAACTGTTCTCATCCTTCCGAAAAAACCCTCATCAGTTCCAAGAAACATGTACAAGGTTGATTTATAGTGTTGTGCCACAAACATGTGGATGACACTCTTAGATCACAATAAATGTTGGGACCCTTCCTGTGATCAGACATTGAAATTTTAAGCTAAACAAAGAAAAAAATATGCACTGTTTATTTACACTTATTGTCAATGTAAAAAGGCATTATTCGGTTTCATTAACACAAATATATAATTGATAAAACTATTTTTTTTTAATAAAATTCATATTTTTAGCTAACACAGTATGAGCAATGAAAATAATGTTCCTGTTTTCTCCATAATACGTATGCAATGAGTTGGCACTGTATCTCTGTATATGTAATGCTATGCCGCCGAATGCTGCCCTCATATGAGTCACAATAAAACAAATCTTTTGTATAAAGTATATTTTTGCACTGATTTCAATAAGCAGTATCACATGGTGCACGCCATGAAGTGCCCCGTTTCGGTTCCATTACAAGACCATTCACAAAATGAACACAAAATACTACCTCACAAGCCTGTACACATTTACAGTGCAACTAGTGGTACAACACTTCTCAAGGACATGACAGTTATTGAATACAGTGCAGTACGCATCTCAATCAAATTACCAATTTACGCAGCAAATAGCTTTCATATGGTTGTCTGCCAACATGTGTGTTTCAATGATGACCGTGTCTGGAAGTGTTTCCTGTGGACACCAGAAGATGCAAACAAAACCCGGTGTCAAAGATTCCTTTTCACTGTCTCGTTTGCCACTGTGCTTTGCTTTTTAAATTTCGAAATGCATTTCTTGAATTGTTGGCCAGAGACGCTCTGGCAATGTCCGTGGTGAATTACAGAGAAACCAAATCTTAGTAGTTTTTCTTTTTTGGAAAACGCCTTTTCTTTTTGTAGAATCTACTTTAGATACGTAGAATCGACTAAGCAACTTTAAAAAATTGCTACTTTTACGTCATTTTTAGCCACAAAGCTCGGTAGAGGAAAAGTCAAAAGAATGTTTCTTATTAACTATCAATGTTAACCGTTTCTATGATACTTATAAACATTAGTTACATCAATTAAAGATATGTGTAAATAAAGCCATTACATATGCAGTTACTAAGGTTCAGCAAGCTATTTAGTGTCTTACTCTAGTTTACCATTTCTCATGCTTTTTATCAGCGTATACTGTTCAAAATACGCTGTGTCCAAAAGTACACTGGACAAACCCTAATATTGAAGCTAAAGCTATGTTTGACGTACACAAAACTGGGATTCTAAAGATACGTCAGCGTGCGCAACTACCAAAAGCTGAAAGTACTGTACGTCAGACGTATCCGGAACCGTGAGCCTAAATATATGTCGGCCGTCGCAATGCAGTGTGATGCACCAGTCGCAGGGTGGGTCGCGGCTACAGCGTACAAGTTTGCAAAAGACCAGCAAGGAACGAGCCGGGTGAGCACTGCCGATGACAACGGAAAAACTCTGAGCGTCGCGTAGTTGATGAAAGGTGTCGTGGTCAGTGGTGCCAGTCATAGACTCCTGTCAGTCGCCGGTGTGAATGCCTCCTTAAAGTACTGCACTAACACAAAACTGAAGGCGTGATAACTTGTCCGATAGATTTGTCTAGGCCTTAATACCAACAATTTCAAAGTATGTGTCATATCATCTTCCCAGAGCACACGAAACGTGCCTTCCGTTTTCATGCAAACGACAAACTGTCACCTGCATCACAAGTTTGCGCTAGCTGCCACGATCCTTGTGCGCATTCTCTCCTCGCAGAACTTTTGAACGGAAAGAAGGGACAGACTCGCATGGAAGTTTGCCTCGGCAGTGCGTTTCTGGGGAGTCACGCTTATAGTTGCAACCTCTTATGGGTGATCATAGCAGTACCTAGGGCCTTTGCCGCAAAAAAGTGTTTGTGCGGTGCTTGTGCGAATGTGGTTTTCTGTGCCTATGTTGCCAGCTGAGTTTGAACCGAAACTGTTCTAGGTGACACCTCACTCTATGCTCTTTGAAACAGCAACTGCGACCGTCTTTTAACAACTAACCAGCGCGTGAGCCCGCTTTTTTTTATGTTATTCAAGTGCTGTAATAGCAATGTATAACTAAGCTTGAGTAGGCGAGAAAGTGCAACGTCCGGCATATCTCGAGACTCCCTGATCCGCGTTTCCGTGGGTCTACGGGGTCAATCGTGATTCGTGCGAACAAACGATGGACGGGCGGGACGAGCTGGTCGAACTTGGAGTCACTTGAGTGCAAGCTCACGAGAAAGCATGACGTCCGACGTATCTTTAGATTCTTGGTTACGGGTACACGAGTCCGACGCTTCTTTAGACACTCGGTTTCGGGTACGTCCGACGTACGTCTAGCTTTTAGGATTCGGTTACGTTTGGCGTACTCTTAGCCGCAGCGTTGAACGTATCATGTTGTGATCACTACGTTTCGCTTCAGCGAGTATTACTTTAATTATTCTGTGCCCAAGGCAGCTCGCCGCCGTCTGATTAAGCGTCCAAAAACGCGAACCGGTTAGGCAATGCACAGAGCGCGACAGCTGATCAAAAATTGTCAATCACCTCGTCCGTCGCTTCTGGTTGACGGAATTTCTCCGAATTGCGGGACCAGTGTGTGTCCACATACTGCTTTAGGAGCACCGAAGCCAACTGACGTATGGCGAACGGGCACTGTGGGTCCACCGTCAGCTCAGCTAAGTGCACGCAGAAATCTGGAAGAGAAGAAAGCAAGATGTGCGCCGATACGACAGGAGCTCAGCCCTGACTGTGACAGGTACCAAGACTGCTCGGGCGCAAACAAAACAATAGCAGAGGTGGGCTAGGGGAGGCGCAATTATAAACAGCAGTCGCGTCAACATTCGGTTGCACACGAGCGGGACAAGAGACGTAGCGACGGCTGACGAGTATAACACCGGTGTTTTTCTAAAGAAGCATGCCGTCCACACGCACACATTGGGCCCCCACATGGTCGCAGCAGCCAGGAGTGGTCGATTCAATGACGAACACCGCGAACACATCAGGCGCCCTTGCACTCACCATCCGTGACTTCGAGAATTTTAAGCTGCTCTTCGGCATTTGTCCTGATTTCTTGCGAGGGCGAAAGGATGGCGTTCAAAGCTTCGCACAGCGCTTCTTTCAAGCTGCGACTCACGTCACCGCTGGTCGCCATTTTCGCCACTGCTCAAATCTGGCGGGAATAAAAGTGACATTTAAAACGAGCTAGCTTAAAGACAAAACAAGAAGCGTATCTTTGCAAACGTATTTTTAAAACCGCCCAAGCACCGTTTAGTGACCACTGGACAATCGCAGGTCGGCGCGGTGCGGTATGAAAATCCGCCAATTACGTCTCGCCACAGTGTTTACGCGTCGCCAGCCGATCGCTGTGACATGGCGCTCCGTGTTTAGTAGGTAGAATCTGAAGTGCGCCGGTAATCTGAGTTCATCGACAGTTTCTCGCGCGAAATGTGGCGTTTAACGTTCGCCGCGTCGACCGTGTGTGTCTTGTTCGTCGGTGTGTTTGGTAATGATGCTGTTTCCTCGTCGTTGGTGAACACGAACGTTGATAGGAATGTGGACCTGCAGTCGCAACTCGTCAAGATTAGCACCAAAATCACGGCCGAAAATAAGGGTTCCACGCCGATCAAACACTATCACATCGCCCTGACCGGCGAAGAAAAACACCACTTGGCCTTCGTTGGCGCCGGGGTGAGTGTACCGCACGAACTTTTCTACTTTCGGAACTTGTTTCACTTTGCCGGCTCAAGCCCTGTCCACGTCAGTAGCACTTTTGGAAAGGCCGCAACCTACTACTCAGGGGTGTAGCGATTTTCTCGCTTTCGGCGGTTCATTAGAGGTTTTGTCGTTTCACGAAAATTCTACGTGTCTAAGCGTTTGCTAGATGCGAGTGTTGCAAATGCAGGTAGTGGTGAAAAGTTCCTACGTGGAACGTCCCACACTGGGGGTGCCGGTAGCAGTTGACTAGCGTTTCGACCGTTCCTCTTCATTTTTCCGTCTTTTTTTTTTTTTAGATTGCCACCGACAAGGACAGTGATCTAACGATCACGGAGGTGACCGTGCCTGCACAAAAGTAAGTTTTTTGCCTGAAATGTTTACTCGCACCAGCAAACACCGATCATAGGTTCCCGATTCAGCCGCTCTTCACAAAAGCTGCCGCCTCTTTGCTCAGTGGTTTCGTAAATGCTTAGTGTGCGTCTGTAGTGCGTGCGTGCTCACATTTAACTGTCCGAGTTTGCGTAATATTTTTGCGATTGCGCAGTTTTTACTGCGCAGCTATCGAGACCTAAGCGACCTTTGAACTAGCAAGGGTAGCCTGGGCATTTTTGTTTAGGACTTGTATGTTGTAAGTTACAAGTGTATGTTGCACGTCAGCTCTGTGTTTGTCGCCTCTCTTGTTCTAGTCCTGAATTAAGTTCTTTAGCTGTTTGAACTTGTTTCGGAACGCAGTGCAGTAAAACGAACTCTTCGGGAGTCTGAGCATTTCGTGCTTTCTATGCATTGCAGAGGATTCCACCACTACCGCATTGAGCTGCCCACTCCCCTTGCTCCTGGCAAGTCGGTGAAGTTGGTGGTCGAGACTACTTTCACTCACCTGGTCACTCCTCACCCGACGCACATCACCCAGGCTGAACGTCAGCTCGCGCTCTACCAGGGTAACCACTACTTCCTGAGCCCCTATGTCACCGAGTCGCAGGTCACTCGCGTGAGCCTGCCCACCCCAAAGCTTGAGTCGTACTCGAAGCTCAAGCCTGTAACGCACTCGGACAACCTGGTCACCTATGGGCCTTATGAGCAAGTCAAGCCTTACACTGAAGTAAGCTTACAGCGCATTCTTTGCATGTGCAATAACATCAATTTTTTTTCCTCTGACATATCATTGCTTTTCGCTAATGCATGCACATTTTTTTTGGGGACAAAGCTGTCTATTCACATTGTGCCATTGCCGTCGTAGTAGTAGTAGGATGCGTCATGCAAGTCGCATAACCACTAGGGTAAGTGAATAAGAAATATCTTCTCTTTATTTCCTGGTTACCAGGTTGCGGCACAGTTTGTTCTGGTAATGTCATTGTTATCAAAGGTAAAAGCATGCTTGTGCAGTACTCGTAGGGTCAACTTCTTGCGGGACTGTAGTTTTTATTGGACGTGTAAAAAAAAGGCATTTAAACGTGCTAGTCCTCGCTTCCCTAAACAATCCGTGTCATATGTAGTAACTTGCTGTTGTGCCAACTACGAACAATGATTGAGTGTGCCTGCAATGTTTCCTCTCTGTCGCTTGCCTTTATAGGACAAGCTCACCGTGCACTACGAGAACAACAACCCGTTCCTGACTGTCACGAACCTTGAGAGGGCCATCGAAGTCTCGCACTGGGGGGTCATCTCGGTCGAGGAGGTAATCGACCTGCGCCACACCGGGGCCATCCTCAAGGGCTCCTTCTCACGTTACGAGTACCAGAGGGACCAGAATGGCGTCTCTTCGGTCAAATCGTTCAAGGTGTGGTACCACTCGTATTCCAGCATTAGAAGTAAAGAAAAACCCTCAATTTGCATCATGATATGCTGCAATTAAAAAAAAAGAACTGTAGCGAACTGAGAGAGAACTGTAGCGTTGTTTTTTTTTTTTTCTGTACGAACAAAGGTTGCTAGCATGACAAACTGTAGGCTTCATGAAACACTTCGAAAATGTGTGCGAATCAATTCAGATTTTTCTCCTTTGCTTAAAAATCACATGAATTATATGGAAATGGCAGCCGTTTTGGCTATTTCTAAGGTCAAGTGTGACTTCATTTCATAACTATTGTAGCCGGAAGTACTGAGTGTCAATGAGGCTGCGATCTTCTTGCACTTCAATTTGCACTTTTGGGGTGCGTTTTTCTGTTGCACAACACAATTGTTTTCCGACTTCTACACCCATTCTTGTTTCAATGCCGCATGCCCGGTTTCGCTAGGTCGCGAAATGGTGTGCACGCTCTCGGCAAGCCATATTATGATTACTGTTGCATGACTGGAAGATGTCTCAGAATGCACAACATTTTATAAACTCCAGAGGAGGTCAAGTTACCACCATGTCTCCTCGCGTTGGCGTCACACAGGTCTCATGTTGTATACACATAACCCGTGCAGGCTTTACATTTGGAACACCAGCAAACGCTTGCTCGTGAACTACATCGTCACCAGAAGGCTAATTCGTCTGAGCCAGCAAATCAACAGCAGTACGCCAGCACTGACAGTTTCATGCATCATGTGGAGCAGCAAACATTAAAAAAAAAGACAATAGAACAGAAGACAGATAATGAAACACTAATTGGACAATTGCATGAAAAGAACAGAAAAGGATACAAAAAATGGCATAATCACCAGAAAAGAGCCGATAAACGCGAGGGAAACACAGGCTAATCAATTCTGTGGGAATTTTACAGCTTTCATTCGGAAAAAAACTGGCTTTGATGTTGTAGTAGGATTTTACTGTGGAATTCTAAGATAGTGGCACTTTCCGGGGTAACGCGCACCATCGATCGAAAACTTCTCGTTTGCAGACGGTGCTGCCAGCTTCGGCCATGGACGTCTACTACAGGGACGAAATTGGAAACATTTCAACGAGTCACATGAGGGTCCTGCACGATGCTGTGGAGCTGGATGTGCGCCCGAGGTTCCCACTGTTTGGTGGCTGGAAGACCCACTACATCCTCGGCTACTACGTCCCCACTTACGAGTACCTTTACAACTCGGGTAAGATTTCCTTTGGCACTCTGACTTGGCCATAAGCTCACGTAAAACCCTAGGCTGAGGTAATAATAAATACTATCAATAATAATCAGATGCACTTTAACCCTTCAGGCACAACCTGTGAAGAACACTCACTACAAGTCAGATTTGTAGAACCTAATTTCAAGACACTCCATATTTTGTTGTGATAAAAATATGTTAAAACGTGGATTTGTGTGTTGTTTTATTGTAGTCATTTTTAGTTAAAGCATCAATAAATGTCTATTTATCCTGAAAGACGAAACGGGAAAGATGTAAGCATGAGAAAATATTTGGGCGTTGCAGTGATGTCAGGCATTCAAGTCGTATTGCAGCTTAACACTAAGGTGCGTTTTGGAATGTAGGTGTAAAGATCTGTCCCTTGACTAGTTCAGACGGTTTCTTATAAGCCTATTTCATTACCCCAGGTGACCAGTACGCCTTGCAGATGCGATTTGTGGACCACATCTTCGATGACAGTGTCACAGACAAGGCGACTGTCAGGATTATCCTCCCAGAAGGCGCCACGTAAGCTCTCAGGACTTTGGGTACATCTAATGTAATAGCTGCTCCATTTTAGAGTGTTGAAAGCATGTATTTCATTTCGTGTGTAATGCAAGTTGGGTGTGCAAGACAATCCGAGAACACCCATATACTTAAAATTGAGGCATACCCGTCAGAATGACGAACAGTGCAATGAATCCAGCACTTCAGTTTTACCATCTCTTGTAGCCCACTTCTCTGAAAGCATGGATACAACCCCGGGACCCCGAAATTATCCATGTCAAGTTTCTTTCAACTGTTTTTTTTTTTCTTTTTTTAGAGACATCAAGCTTCGTGTGCCATACCAGGTCAAGCGCCTGAATGACCAGCGTCACTACACGTACCTGGACACCATCGGGCGTCCAGTAATTGTTCTCGAAAAGACTAACCTCGTCGAGCAGCACATTCAAGACTTCCAGGTAACGAAACGAGTGTTCGCTGTGAGCCTTTCAATCTCCATGCATGATGTCTCTTGCAGTCGTGGCAAGGTGGTCCAATACTCTGTTGCCTGTTTTCTTGTGTTCTTGCAGGTTCATTACAAGTTCAAGAAATTGCTCATGCTTCAAGAGCCCCTTCTCGTAGTTGTAGTCCTCTACTTGCTCTTCCTTCTTGTCGTCATCTATGTCAGGCTGGATTTCACCATCAACAAGGTTTGTGTCTGCACAGCTAGCTTCGTTACTATGTCTTCGTCAAAATTGCCATGTAATCTGTAAAGAAATAGCATCTGATAGCACGAAGATGTAGAGGCACAATGTGCATTGACATTTCTTATGAATAGGCCACTTTGGGATTGGCTTACACAAGAGTTAAGACATTGAAAGGGAAAAGCTAATATCATTGGGAAGAGATTGCTCATAGCTGCTGAAAACGGTGGTTGGTGCAGGACCCCATTTACGAGAGCAAGCTGCAGGTGAGCGGCCTGTTGGAAAAGGTGGCGGCCACTCAGGATCGCCGGGCCGACCTGTACGCTCGGCACGACGAAGCATTGACCAAGTACAAGGCGAGCAAGGATGCCTCTGGCTTCCAGGCATCGCTCAAGAAGATCAATGCTGAGCACAAGACCCTGACGCAGACCCTGGCTGACTGCCTCGGCAGGCTAAAGCAGGAGAGCATTGAGGCTGCAGAACCGGTGCGTTGAAGATGTACAGCATGCCCTCGTTGACTTGTAAACCTTGATAGTATCTTAAGACATCAGTTAAAGAGAATCGGCCGCATTTAAATGTAAATACTTGAGACCATCTAAGATGTCGACAGCAATGTTTTAGTAGCAAAGATAGGAAGCGAGTGACAGCCGCAACATTAAGGCAAGGGAGGAAAGCAGAATGGGTCAGGGAGAAAAAGAGGTATAGTGGATGTTCTACTTGACAATGACAAAAATGGACCTGGGTTGGCCGTGTAGTGAGTAGGGCAGGCAACAGGCAGGCAGTATAAGGAACAGAATGGTTGCAAAGTTAGATGGATTGACGCAATCAAGAAGTTTGCAGGAATGAGATTGAATTTCGACAGGATGAGATAAACATGAAATTGTTGGGGGAAGCCTTCATCCTGCAGAAAATTATATTCCTAGCAGCATTTGCACTAGGATACAAATGCCAGGCATGGCCTTTAAATGTGAAACTGTCCGACAGGTGAACGAGCTGCAGCGATTGGACAAGCTTCTTCGGGAACAGTTTCAGCAGCACGTGGCACAGCTGGAGAAGTTCATGGGCGGCAAGATGAGCAAGCAGCAGTACCTGGACACCGAGGCCAGCATTCAGAAGAAGAAAGAAGAGTTGGCCGAGAAGATGCACACAATCACGGCCTCGCTCTAGTCGCCACCGCCTGTAGCAGCTTTCTGCCAACTCCCACGCCATCTCATGTGTCGGCCAGAACAGCCTCCCGTCCACGCTGTTCCTTACTTTTTTTTTAAGAACAATGCCAGCTGTTAATTGAGCCAACTTAATCGGGGAAAAGTATCTTCAATTGGATGCCTCTGTTTTGTCAGGATGTACATAGGATAGCTAACTGTCCCATGGTGAGGCTAATCGCTTTGTAATATAATGTCATGTCCTCTTACCTCTTTTCCATGCATATTTGCAATAAAAGTGAGTGTAAACAGTGCTAATGTTTCTGTGTATATAGCACTTCGTCTTAGGCAGGCAAGCTTGGGTGAAATCGTACAGACATCTCGCCTTTCTAGTATTTGCTCGACTCAATAAGAGCGTCGCTTTTGTTGGCTAACGTTAGTGAAGTGGAATGCATCACTTTGGCAAACTGCACAAAGGCAAGCAAATGTTGGGAAAGCAAGGTGTTTGCATGAATAGTGTTTGGCCTGGTGAAATTCCACATGTTCTGCACACCTGCATCTAAACCTCTTTGAAAATGTGAAAGGCGGGGGTTGTTCTGGCTGACGCAGCTGGCTTACTTCATTGCAGTGTGGGATCGGTGCAACTGCAAGGGGGCTAATGGCTGCCCGGTGTGTTACAAAACTTGTGCGTGTATGGGTGTGTGCCTATGTGCAAATGTTCTGTTGAATTTCTGGGGGTAAGCTTAGAGGGCATCGCTCATTTCTTTGTGTTCTAAGCCATTTTCATTCCAAAGTTGAATAAAAAGTCCTTTTCTTTCTTTGTGCGAAGTTTTCTTCTGAGCTAGCAAACTCTGAATAGAAGTTGCTGCCTCTTTTTCTTTTTCACCCATCTTCAAACCTGGCCTGTTTGAAAGAAGTTTAGCGCTCTTTCTGGACTTCACTCACTTGGCCAGATAAGCGGACACTTTCAAAGAAGCATGTCTACATCTGAACTTCAGGTCATGTGTTGCCAACTAGTCGTCCATTCGTTAGGCAGATAATATTGTTTGTCACACACGAGATTGCCTTCTTAATCTGCCTATGCCTAGGTATCTAACATTATAACCACAATTGTTATGCTTAATGATTTGCAAGTTTTTCACTGGACATTGCCAAAATAACCATACTATCAAATGTCTCACCGTAAGCATGTGCTTGTCAGGCAACACTACATGGTGCAGGTCTTGAACAAAAAGCAAAAGCCCACCAACTAGTCTATCAGTATATATTTGCATAATTTTCATGCAGACATATGAAGCAAGTATGATTGTTAATTACAATGAACCCCTATTGGAAGACAATGTAGTACTGATTTCTTTTTATTACCATCTACGCTGCCAATTTTGCAGATATCACTTACTATACAGCATGGATAGGCATCTCTCATAGCCAAAGCTTTTGCAGTGTGCATGAAGTTTGAGTAAAAAAACAATGCAGCTTAAGTTTTCCAGGTCAAGGAGTACTGTTTCTTGGGCTAGTTTGAAGAGCTCACCAGTTCTTGGATGCATTCAGTGAAGACAAGGACACAGTGAGGCGAACTGAAAAAGAGGCACAAATGGAAGCACACAGGCCTTTCATTTGTGGTCTCCTGTGTGCCTCACTGTCCCCATCTTCATTAAGATAGCCCCAAAACCAGTTTCCTCATCAAAGATGTATTACCAAGCAGCCTCCTCCTTGCAGAGATGTGTAGTTTCTCGTTATAGCTAAATGTTTAATAGACCATTTTCAAGCACACCAGCGCCACCAATAAGCACACAAGTGCTCACAGGAAAAGTTAACACGCCGAAGCAGCCGTCACAACGAGTGTGCAGGCCTCGTGCTTTACCTTTCCGCTTGCGCCGTTCTAGGGCTTCCTAGACACCGTGAATTTGGCAAGGTACAACATTTAGTGCGTCGTTCAATCACAAACTTCAGTGTTTAGCTGCGAGTGCCTCTCCACTATTTCGATCGGTACACTGTAGGATCTGTTGAGCGGCTCACAAGCGCCACATTTCTTTTTTTAAAATGTGAAGCAGCCCTTTTACTAGCCTGTGTAACGCTGTCCCTCTGTATGAACATGCCGCAGATGTTGGCATGGTGCCAAGTAGGTGATGCCGTAGCTGCGTGTTGACGTCACACTCCCCACGCAAAGCGCGCCGTCATTCTCTCCCTCACCAGCCTTGTGCTCGCCACAATCCTCACAGCTGCCGCGACCGCCGACTCCTCAGTTTACGCCCAACAAACCTGACGCGCGCCAAACGTACGGGTTGAAACATGACTGTACGTGTGACCTACAAAACCTACGCCAGCCATCACTTCAATGAATCTTCCAGTGCTCACAGCAGCACCCGTGTTAGCGCCGTTCAACCCGTGCGCAACACTGCTGCTTCGCATCCCATTGGGGTTGACTTTCGGGGAGATGGTCCTTCAAGTTCGTTATTTTTTTCCTTTATGCCAGTGCTTTATGGCAAAAAAGATGAAATAAGAAAACAGATACAACTCGGTTGCCTATGAAGTGAACGAGTGGTCTTAGATTCGCGGATGCGTTTGGAACTAATGTTCATAGACGCAGTCAATGAGTAGAATGTGAGGTTCTGATTTTTAAAGAGTACTATAGAAAGTATGGTTGGCATTTAATAATAAGGTACATTCATTGAATAGTGGGCACGCTGCTCACACCGTAATTGTAATGAACTATAGGTTTCAAGCCAGACTAAAGCGGAAAAAAAGCATGACAAGAAAGGGAATACACGCACCATCTAGCACTCACTCACAGCTGAAAGTTTCTTACACGTGTGAAAAAAAAATATGAACAAACATTGGGGTGCAGCAGTGCATGTCATAAGATCAAAGCATAAATTGTCAAACAACGAAGGCGTGCGTTCGCAGTCAATTAAGTCGGTCAAATTACTTGTCTTGTAAGAACCGCAAAGGTCGAATAGGTGAATAGCAAAATCGTGGCCATCGTAAAGGATTGTGGGCTACGACGCTTGTCTACATCATTTTTCGGTTCGAGATGGCCTGCCACCCAACGAGAATTCTTGCCAGTGCCGTCACTTTCTCTCAGTGAGAACAATAAGATGCTAGGGCCGTCCACCGGACACACCCAACTAGATATCTGATATCTACTGCATATACAGAACAATACCACGGACATCCCTTGCAGGTCAATTTGGCCACACTTTCCTGAACCCACGGTTATCACTTGCAAGTGCCAAACAAGTCGCAAAGGACACACTGTGTACATGACAGGGAGATTAAGAAATGTCTTTTATTCAGGTGTTTTCTAAAAGCTGTCTTCCACAGTCTTTTTTTTTTTTTCTTTTACTCTCAAAAGTAGCAATTTCAGGAGTTCAAAGCATGAATAAGTTTTCCTGTGCTTTCAGATGCTAATTTAATTAGTTCTTCTGGACATTCACCAAAATCAGTCTAAAGCACACACAAATTTTTTACCAAAGTGCATTTTGAAAATAATTAATAAATTTAGCACCTAAAAGCATAAAAAAACTTGTGCGTGATTTGAGCTTCTGAAATCGCAACACTTTCATTGAATGAAATTTGACATATGGCAACATATAATGCTAAACGTTAACTTGTGCAATAGAAATACTGAGCCAAGTGTACTGCATACACACTTCTTTATTTAAGAACAAAGCACAAAACACGTACATTGTGCACTGTGACTAGATGTATATATACATAGGCTAAGTTTATGTGTAAACTGGAATTGAATATTGAAGAAACATGTATTGAAATCTACGACGGATACAACAAATGAGAGAAAAAGAAGCTGTGATATAAAAAAACAGTACATGACACGCCCCTAGGGAGTGCATCGTGCCCAGCCATGTCTTCAACTGATGCCCCAACGTCTTCACATTGACTTGGAGGTGACCTGTTTTAAATCAGGAGGTTTCCTTCAAGCAAATGCAAAGAAAGCAAGCACCTCTATAGAAATGCTATTTTTCCGCTAAATGCATGCAATTCACAGGAAAGCTGTCCGAGAAAGCAAAAATTATTTAAATTAAGAAAACACAATGCAGGCTTGCCATCACTATTACACATTCAGAAAGTGAAGTTCTCTACACAGCAACATATTCCCCACATGGTGCATTTGCTTAGAAAGCTCTGGCACTGAGCATGAGATGGCGAGATTAAGTCAGAGCTGATGGAGCCTCTTTTTGTTGAAGGCATAGAGACTACAATAACATTATTCATATGCCATGATATGGTTATGAGGTGTGCCGTAGTGAAGGACTCTGGCAATTTTTACCATTTGGTGGTGCTTAATGTGCACAGATATCGCGCATGAGCCTTTAGCATTTTACCTCCATTCAAATGGGGCTGCCACTGCGAGAATCACACCCACGACCTTCATGTTAGCAGCCAAGTGCTGCAACCGCTACATCATCCCAGCGAACAGGCATAGTACCATTGTGCCCGCATGCTTTCGTTGTAAACCACATCATACTACCCCAGGGGGTAAAAGTTGATATGAAGCCCTCCGCTGTGGCACATAATTCATTATAGTGTTTGAGAGTGAAACTACAGAATATAATGTGTGAAGTTATGTTCTTTGACAAAAGGTGAGGAGCATTAAGTAATGTGGCTCGGGACAGTGGGGGCAGGCAGCAGCCGTTTAGTGCAACAGCTGCACTAAATTTATGAAGCCTAATAAGTGTGGGGGTAAAATTCTTTGCGGCGCGTGGCGCACGTGTCTCGCCCAAAAGCTGCATTTCGATTTGCAACCACCGAGCGATAGATGACGTTGTGTTTGCATTGAGCACCACTATCACCATCATGGTTCTTAGTGGTAGCGCCGGTGGTGAGCCCTGGCGGAAGGCAAGCCTTGGTGGCAGGCGAGAGTTGAGCGAGTCTCCTCTGTGCGTGGCGGTTGCCACGAACGGTTGTCTCTAGCATGGGTCCTCGGCGCGTGGCACCGCGGGCCACGTGTCAAGGGTGTTGCGAAAGACGGCGACGCCAACACGATCCCAAAGGTGCCACTGCTTCGAATTCCACCGGGAAGGTCATCAGTCGTTTGGTAGCGTAGGTTTCTCAGCTCGCGACTGCTTCTGCGCAGAGCTGATAGACGAGCGGACGAGACGACGGTGAGTTAAACAACGTTTATGTACAGTATATATACAGAGGCGTTACAAATTCGGCACTGGGGCCGACAGAGACGCGAAGAGCCGAGCTCTTCTCTCTAACACATAGCTCTACTCTCAAATGGGTCTGCTCGCGACGCGCCGCAGGGCTTCTTTTATATGCGCCGGGTGGATTCTTTGAGTAACCAAATGTCCAACCAGAAGCGCCGCTGGTCGTGAGGTCGGACTCCTCCAATAGTGTCGCCGCTGGGTCGTGTCATTCTTTCTCATCGAATCTGGAGAGGCTGCGCTGCAGGTGGCTGCACCCAAGGACGAGTGACGTCGCCAGGCATTGCGTCACCCGCCAAACAGGAAGGCGCCGATTGCTTGCTCGACGGGCTCGCTTGCTGAGGTGACTCACTGCACGTGCGGGACAGAAAGGCGCCGTCACGTGTTGACGCCGTTGAGTTGTTCATCGCGTCAGGCGGGCTCGCGTGCTGGCCTTGACACAGATTTCCTTTTTTCCGAGGCATGTACGTTCGCTGCGGACTCGCAGGCATAACAGCAAACCCGCCGCCAGGCAATGCGCCGGAAAGACGAGCTGCTTCCACGGGGCTCGGATGCCAGGTGCACTCGTTCGCCAGGTCCCTCCAGGTTCGCCTCCAGGACCATGGGGAGAATGCAGCTCCAGACTCTGTTCCGGGAACATATCCTATTC